CCTTCCACGAAAAGGCCGTGCGCGACCGGCTTCAAGCACTTGCCACTGGGCTCTGCGGTCACGCTCTCAGGTCGTCAAGACCAACACTAATCCAATTTCCTTTTCAGGTTCCTCAATAAGTACCCTTCCACGGTGTGGGCAGCCGGGAAGTGACATCAGCCCTCATACCCGTGACGGCACACGAGACCAAGTTGGTCACATTCAAATCCTTTCTACACCTCCTGATACCTCCCTTATCTCTATGACTAACCCTTCTCACGTCTCTTTATCATCTCGCACCGCTAGGGCAAACGATTCGAGTACGCGGAACGCTATTCCTGGTCTCCTGAAACCACGCTCTAAACTACACGTAGGAGCTTTTAACGTACGAACACTTTGCCAAATAGGACAGCAGGCTTCCTTAGATAGGACTTTAGAATCCCGCGCCATCGATGTGTGCTGCGTCTCCGAAACGCGCATACAGGATCCGAGTAGCGTCATTCATTTGACCTCACCATGCCAAAATAAAGAACCGACTCGATTTACGCTTCGTGTATCTGGAAGCCGGTTTTCGACCTGGACGTGGTTGTATAGATCAGATATTCACACTACGTCCTGATAGTGCTTACCGTGGCCTCGCTGGATTAGGTAATATATTGAGTCCTAGGGCAGAACTAGCTCTCTTAGAGTGGATCCCAGTAGACAGTCGTTTGTGCGCTGTCCGACTGAACGGAACAGTAAGAATCCGGAAAGATAGGGACACTCGTCGTTGCCTCTTCGTCGTCTCTGCCTATTCTCCCACTGACTGCAGCTCAGATGATGTAAAAGATGAGTTTTACAGAAAGCTTTCGGACCTTCTCCGAAAAGCTAGGCGCTCGGATGTAGTAATAGTGGCCGGTGACTTTAATGCTCAAGTAGGTAAACTAAGCGATAGGGAAAGACACCTAGGTGGATCTTATGGTGTCGAGATAATGGCGACCGTCTGTTGCAGCTATGCTCAGATAACCGCCTGTTCCTTGCAAATACTAACTTTAAGCATAAGGAAAAACATCTTTTAACATGGCGACCCCCTAATTCGTCCCAACGTTGGACCCAAATAGATCACATCGCTATCAGCCACCGATGGAGGGGCTCGATAGAAGACTGTCGCTCATTCTGGAGCACATGCCTAGATTCAGATCATGCTCTAGTGCGAGCGCGTATTTGCTTGCGTCTTACTGGACGTAGGAAAGACGCTGCAAGGAAACCTCTTAGGGCCTACTTAATGATAGTCAAGCTAAGAGTATATTTCAGGAACAACTAGGAAAACAGTTAGGCAGCCATGTATGTGATGCCCACCCCGATGCAGCATGGAATGATATCCGAAAAGCTGTGGAAACAGCAGTGATATCTGCTAGTAAGGTAAACCAGAAGGTTAGGGAGCAACACTGGATCTCAGCAGCATCTATCTCACTGATAGATGCTCGGAAACTCATTCCACCTGGCTCTGAACATAATGAAGAGCGGAGTCAGCTTAAGCGCAAGCTGACAAGAAGTCTACGCAATGATCGTGAACAGTGGTGGGTAGCGAAAGCAAGAGAGATGGAAAAGGCAGCGGCAATAGGTAATAGCAGACAATTGTTCAGACTCGTTAAGGAAACCGGAATTAGGAACCCGACCGTTAGCGAAACAATCTCAGAGATAGATGAACATATTATTCATTCTCTCGAGGGAGAGCATCAGGTCCTGACAGGTTTACTCCTGACATTTTTAAGGATGGTGGTTCAGTATTAGCAGTGAGATTAACTGAAGTCTTAGGTAGAATTTGGGAACTGGACGTAATCCCATCTGACTCGTCTCAATCACTGATTGTGCCAGTCTATTAGAAAAGACAAAAGACCTCCTGTGACAATCACAGAGGAGTCAGTTTGACTAATATAGTGTCTAAAATATTAGCTTCAATAATACTTCGACGCCTAACTAAAGCTCGTGAAGAGCAGACTAGAGAAAATCAGGCTGGTTTTCGACCTGGACGTGGTTGTATAGATCAGATATTCACACTACGTCAGGTTCTAGAACACAGACACACGTTCAGACGCCCCACAATGGTAGTATTTCTCGACCTTAAAGCGGCATTTGACTTTGTTGATCGTAAGGTTCTATGGCAGTGTTTGTCACTGAAAGGAGTACGAAAGAAGTACATTAACCTTATAAAGGCTCTCTACTCGAACACAACTGGTAGAGTGAGAGCTTATGGCGAACTGTCATCAGAATTGATTACCTCAAGTGGTGTTCGTCAGGGCTGTCCACTCTCCCCATTCTTGTTCAACTTTGTCATTGACGTACTTTTAGAGATAACACTATCCTCATCTGAATTTCCAGGGGTTGAACTTCTATCAGGAGATTCACTTGTTGACTTAGAGTATGCCGATGATATATTTGATGAGGACGCTGACAAAACGCAGAGTCTTCTGACCACTCTAAGCAGCACAGCGGGCATGTTCGGGATGCGATTCTCCCCCTCGAAATGCAAAATGTTGCTTCAGGATTGGGTTGCATGACACTCGAACTAATGATAGGGAGTGAAGTAATTGAGCGTTTCGACCGCTTCACTTATCTTGGTAGTTTCGTCAGCACTTGTGGTTTGGTGTGTGATGAAACCTCAGCACAGATACAGTATGCTCGACTAGCTTTTGCCGACTTGCGTCATTTATGGCGTAGACGAGATATCCGTCTATCAACCAAAGGACGAGTTTACTGCGCATTGTCATTATGATCACCATTAGAGAAATATATTTCGGTCGATAGTTTCCAATTTACAACTAAAATTTGATGACTCAACCTAAATCGATTTTCCCGTGATTTGAGTAGAAGTGTGTAAGTGTATAAACCGACCACATCTAGATGAAGGCGTTCGGTCACACATCTAAACTTGATAACCAGTACATATGCCACGCTACGCATCCCTTACGACTGCTACCCAGATTAGATTAAATGCTTCGTAATATGTCGATAGCCTTTCAAATACTTCTTCCAACCTCCTAACCTCTGACTCCTGATTTGACCGGGTTGGATTTCTTCGATAACAAAGATGTTACATGTAAAGGTGTTGTGAAACTCCGAATGCCTGTAGCATCTTTGATTTTACTATAGAGGATTTATCAGGTGTCGTTGCCATCGTTTCAGTTAGGAAGTGCTCTTGTCAACTAGAACCACAATAGGGCCTTAGGTGAACGCCAAAATAAGTTTGAGTGATTCTGACATCTAGCTACTTGATATCCTGGGAATAGAGCGGAAAAGTTAGTAAGCGCTCATAATAATAAACTTCTGCAAAGGCGGGTACACGCCATTTTTACAGGCATGATCTACAAATTACAACATTTACTGCTTCACAGTATGCATGTTAAATAAATATAGTCGATAAAAGTGAATATCAGTTCATTCCTTCAGTTGTCTTGTCTGAATATGATGAACAATTAACTGGAATAGCATAGTAACACAAGCATTCATTGATCAGAGGCGATAAATTTCTTCTCACACCTCAGATCCACTTGCAAATACATACAATGTTATCTTAACACACTACAGCAAATATTTCAGACGTTGTTAACGTGATTCGATAACCTAATTAATACATTGTTTAACGAACGACCTTGCACCTATTTATACCCGATAATTTTGATTATATTTCCGTAAAAACGGCTTGGACCAGATTAACGAGCGAAACTTCGGGTTGGTTTCATATTCAGAGATTTTACAGATATATTCTTCTTCCTGGCATGTATCTACATCTTAGGACGCGATATAGGAAGTAGTGATTAACTAACAAATTCCAGTGTCATGCAATATTCTTTCGTGATACAAGCATAACTTTATGAATGAAGTAAAAATTAGATAATAAAACTAATTATAGTTATTATCAGGTACACATATATTTGTGTTTTTGATTGAGATCATGAACCGATTGATGTTAGACCACCTTTGGAAACCTGGAAGCACTGGACGGCCGTTTCGTTCTATTGTGGGACTACTCATCAGTGCGCATCCACGATCCCGACCCCACGAGATTCAAACTCAGGGCATCGGTCTCGCGCACGAACGCTTAACCTACTGGACCACTGAGCCGGCATCCAGTGGTGATAGTGTCTAACATCGACCAATCCACGAAATTGCGCGACTAATTCTCATTGTACGGAGGTAGATACCTGTCTCTACCCGACATGGATTAGCCCCACTGGTCACGGCTTCTCACTAGAACTCCAAGAATTCCCTCACGAAGCTAGTCACTAGTGAGCACATATTGATTACTAGTAAAGGGGTTGTGGATCATGATCTCAATCAAAACTTAATAATCTCCACAACCCCTATACTAGTACATAAATATTTAGATTTCACTAAGAATTGACAGACACTTTCATCAGCATTAGCATTACTATCTTAGGTCGCCGCCTACCAACACACTCCATTCAATCCTGTCGTAGACAATTTTTTCTAACGCTTTTCAAATGTTTGTTTTGAATATACATATATATAATCCTCATGTATATAAATTACATAATAATAGAACACACATTTTGAGCACCGAAGAAGAAAGATTTATTTATTAATTCTCAAATACATAACTGATAATAGTAATAATAATGATTTATCATGAATTGTATTTGTGCGATAAACATTATTATTATTATTCTGAAAGAGACAATCAGACAGAGGAACAATACAATGTCAATCTAATCATGTGTTTAGACTAAACATAAATGAAAACTGAAGTTAGATACTGCATACAAAATGAAATAAGAATAATAATAAGACTAAGCAAATAGTATCATCATACAAATGGAAAATATTGTCTTCATAAAACAGAAGATATACATACACCATCTCTCTTATTTTCTTTCTTTCTTTTTAGCATCATTTGATTACTCACTCATATTAATTATGTAATATAACTTATACAACAATAAACAACAAATAAACCGATATAAGTGATTAATTGTTGAATGAATAAAAAAGAGTGAAATATAGTATGTTTTAGTTGATGATTAGTACTTCCTGTCGTCAGATAATCCACTACTACAAGTAAAATAGAATAATAATAATAATAATAAAGAAACAAGATAATATCACATAGAACAAATATCATTATCAATAAATAAATAAGAATATTTGTAATATCCCAATGACTTTTCGTGACTTGATATAAGTCACTTCTTCAGAGTAAATAAATGATCAAATTAAAATGAATCCAAGTTTAAATAGTACAACGGAACAATAAGAATAATATGTGATCAATCAAAAAACAGGTCTGAACAAGTTAATATGAAGTAATTTTAATTTGGTTATTTATTTACTTTGAAGAAGTGGCTTACACTAAGTTACGAAACGTCAGAAAATCTAATTTTTACACTTATTGGGATATTACAAAAATGTAGTATTTATTTATTGATAACAAACTATCCAATGCTCAACTTAATCGAAATTATCAAATCAAACCTTGGTAATGATACCTAGAATATTATTATATGTGTGAAAATTATATTTGAAATAAACTCAGCGATTCAAATTTAAAACAATAATTCTAACGTTTCACGTCCAGCTAACTTGTCAAAATCAAAATCATCAAAGCAATATATAGCGTTTTAACAATCAAAACTATACGGTGTTAAACCAATTAAATTTGGATGTTATTTTGAAAGCTATAAATTTCTTTGATGATTTTGATTATTACCCTGACATAGCCTGTTTGGTGAAGACGCTGATAAAATGCAGAGTCTTCTGGTAGCACTAGGCAACAATGTCAGAATGTCTGGAATGCGCTTCTCTCCCTCTAAATGCAAGTTGTTGCTTCAGGACTGGTCTGCATCAACACCTGAACTAAGGATAGGGAGTGAAGTAGACGAACGCGGAGACAACTTCACTTATCCTGGAAGTCTGATCATCACTAATGGGTTAGTGTCTGACAAAATCTCTGTACGGATTCGAAAAGCTCTCTTGGCTTTTTCCAAATTACATCACCTATGACGAAGGCGAGATATCCGTTCATCAATTATGGGACGAGTACACTGCTCGGCAGTCCATTCTGTTTTAATTTACGGCTGCGAAACATGGCCATTAAGAGTAGAAGATACTCGTAAGCTACTAGTATTTGACCACAGATGTCTTAGAAATATTGCTGGGATCACCGGGTAAGTAACAGGGAGATTAGACACAGGGTATTAGGGAATGATAGTAAATCACTTGATGAGTTTGTTAATCTTCATCGACTGAGATGGTTGGGGCATGTGTTACGGATGCCTGAACACCGATTACGACGACGTGCAATGCTAACCGATGTTGGGGATAGCTGGAAGAAGGTTAGGGCAGTCAAACCAAAACGTGGCATCAGTTCCTGAAGTCACTAACTTCATGTATGAGCCATGTTGGTAGATGCAGACTATTTGATTGGGTGCACACGCGACTATCGTAACCAATGGTTGGAGGCTCTGGGTAACATCACTCAGAATCGATCACAATAGCGTCGGTGTAAACACTCTTTGTCTTCCCTTAAACTATGAGATTAAAATGGCTTCATATCTTTCTACGCACTAAATCTTTCTTCCTGTATTATGTCCTTATATGCAATCTTTTTTTATACATTACCACCACTGAATTAACTACTCCTATGAATCCGGTGTTCATCTTGCTGTGCTGATGCGGTATGGCAACCAGGACCGATGCACATATGTGCCTGGTCCTACGTTGTAGCTGACTGACTGACCCTGAAGAAGTTCAGACAAGTTGGCTGGACGCGAAACGTTGGAATTGTTATTTTAAATTTCAATCGCTGAGATTATTTAAAATATAATAATTTCTCTATATTTGGCGCCCAATTTCTGTCAAACTATTCGTTCTAATCTTGACGAATACATTTAGAAATCACAAACAAAATAATGGGAATCCATAGTAGAACATGAAAATATTTTTTTAATGACAGGTAACTGTGTTCACTAGTATGAGTCTTGTCATAGAGAAGATAATAAATGTTACTACATGATAAAACTATTACATAAAACTGATAATAGTTTTTGAGAGGATTGTTTTAGTTGTGATTAATTTTGACTAAAAATTCAAAGAAGCTTGTGTGGGACTATTGACCAATTGTAAGCTGAGCTGTATTTACCATAAGAACACAAGTTTTTAATGAGGGCTGGTAGATTGATATAGACTGAGAAACATTAAAGTAGAATGAGTTTACTGAGCAGCAGTTCGTTCCGTCCTACTTTATGGCAGTGAAACATGGCCAGTAAGAGTAGGGGATGATCGTAGGTTGCTAGTATTCAATCAGAGGTTTCTTCGAAACACTGCTCGTATATCCTGGGACTATCGAGTAAGTAACTCAGTTGTTAGGAAACGGTCACTAGGTAAGGATGGCAAATCAATTGATGAAGTAGTGAAACTTATCAGTTGAGATGACTGACACACGTGTTATCCATGCCCAACCACCGACTGCCCCGATGAGCGATGTTTTCTGGTGTAGGAGTAGGTTGGAAGAAAGTTAGTGGCGGCCAGACTAAAAAATAGCACAAATCCATGAAGTCACTGACAAGTGGACTGTGTGAGCCATGTTGGTAGGTGTAGACTACCTGGTTGGGATCCGCGAGACGAATAACAACAGATGGTTTATTTATTTGAACACATAAATACCGATGGTTAGAGACCCTGAATGACATGGCTCAAAATCGTTTGCAATGACGCAGGTGCATACACTTTTTGTGTTCTCCCAGATTAAAATCTTCTCGATTCTTCATATCCCTTTCTTTTTTCTCTTTCCGAATTTATTTCACTGGATTATACTCCTTGAATAACATCGTCAAACCCTAATCTTTCCGATTACTGCTGATACTTTTACCACCTCTATAACTACGGGATTTGAATCGACAATTGTGTCTGTGCTAACGTGGTATGGTAAATTGAATTGATGTAAGTACGTACGAAGTTCTACATTGTTGCTGACTGACTGAAAGTAGAATGGAACAGCTTGCTAGTCTTCAACTAGCTGATCAGTTGAACGAATTCTGAGTTAAAAATTGTTATGGACATTTTTGCCCGGATCGATCATCTAACAATCAGTAGGGGAGTTTCATCATCGAGGTTTTAGGATGAAATATTTATGATTAGCCATGTCAACCATTCCAAACCGATCTATATGACAAGCCAGAGTCACGTAGGCAAAACCAAACACCCATTAACAGATAGATAAAGTAGGACATCATCATCTCAAATGGGTTGAAGAAAAATGACTATGCAAACCAATTTTTTAAACAACATACCTAGAAAGTCGTGAAGGGAATCCTGAGCTACCAAAAGGTCGTTTCCTTTAGAGTAAAGAAAAAAATTATGAAATTCATTTGAGAATCTTTCAAATTAACAATAAAAGATACAACAACAATAACTGGCTAGTGGGATGAGATGATCATCAAACTATGTGATACATATTATGGCAATACACATTTCGCACAATGCGATTACAAGTTACTTGTTAAGATTTGTCTCACAATTAATTATATATACACCTTTAAAACATTCAGTGGAAACGTGCAGCACCAACAATGAGAATCCCATTCTCTAAGAGTTGTTCTCAATAATTTACAAAATATAGGTGAACAGTTTAATTGTTTAGTATTTACATAAAAAAACTCGTTACAAAATAGGACACCAAGATGGATGTCACACACACGCAAAGAAAATAGGAGTGCAAGAACTGTAAGGAACAGTAAAAACTGAAGTAAAAAGTATTATCTACTCAGTTCAACAAGGATCAATTTTCTAGCAAAATTATTGAGTTGGGATTGCTATCGTCGCTGAACAATTAAACCAATACGTGAGAACACTAAAGATGGTCAGGTCTTAATTATACGGGCAAATTAGTGACCCACAAAACATATTAGTAATAGCCCATTTGATATTTATTTATTTGAACACATAGATATTGGTACAAGGGGCACCAAATATACATGCGCCACACAAATCTCATATGATTTGTGTGAGGTCTGTGATATTGCCCGTGTGTCCAAACCGAAGCAGGTGGTATTCTTAGAAGGCCACACCCAGAGCCTTCGACACAAAGGTCTGATCCACAAGGCAGTGGAGCATCGTAAGGAGATGCAGTCTCAACGATTGGTTCATACGCCATTTGTTCTTTCAGGACACTGGAGGCCATGAGCACCATTGGTTTGGAATCAGGGTTTTTCAACTACCCTAGGTGAACTCTCTGTGTCCACCGATCCAGTTAAAGCGCCGGACATTCGCCTTTCGTCATCTCGATGTCGTAAACAACACCCCCACCACGAGGAGATAGTGAGTAGGGCTTCCCCTGGCGGAGGCTAAAAACGCGTGGCCATGTGAGAGCATTTGGGGGCTCATTCGACATAGGATATCTCATATTTTTATTTTATACTAAGGTATTGTATTTTTACAAGACAAAAACGTACTATGCTGATTGTGTTTTATCACAATTTACATCTATGTGCTGGGATCAGTAACTCTGTCTCGTGAGGAGCTACCACTCGATTACATTGTATAGGTGCGCACAGTATCCAATCGGTTTATTAACATAAACCATAGCCAGACTTTTGAACAACGGGAACAGTGGTAAAAACACTGAGTTTAACCGACAGATTGCAGGTCTGATCACTATACTATTAATAAGGGTTTGGAAACCAATTATTTGTAGTATGTAACTAGACATCACTTAAACAGTACTTTGTGAATAAATTACATTATCATCATATCTTTTAGATCATACACGAAGGTACAAATAATACCAACTTTTATCTCAACGGGCGATGTTTGCTAGTGTAGGATCAAGCTGGAAAAAAAGCTCGAGGTAGCCACATCAAAAACGTAGCATCAATACATGAACATAATTATCACTGAACTTGAACCATGTAAGTAGGTTTAGACTGCCTGGCTAATTTCTGTGCAATAACTGCGACCAATAGATGGAGATTTTGTACAACACCGTTTAGAATTGGTTCACGTTTTCTCATCTTTTCAATTATGACTTAGAGTATCTTTTCAATCCCATCTCTCTGATCCATATTCACAATATTGATTGCTACTACATTATTCTGATCTTCCGTAATTCATGTTACATTCATCTCGTCTTAATATGGCATAGTAAGTTGATCCAATGCATATATTTGCCAGGAATTATGCTGATTATGACTAATTGTTGCTACACAAACTGACGATGATCATTGACGAAAAAAATGTAGTGTTCTACAAATTGAAACACTTGGATAAAATTTATTACATGCATGAAATCAGTAGTTGAACTGACCATATCGAAATTATGGAGATTTACATGTACACAAACACACTTTATCTTAATATATCCTACAAACACTTTGATCTAAGGTCAATTCACGAGATATGAAGTTATTTATTTAATTTCGAAACAAATTGACATAATGAAACGAACAAAATTAACATAAAACTTACACATTACCACCTCTCATTTCTTCAAAAACTTGTGATTTGCCCACTGTGGCATTTGGACCTCTATATAATAAACGAAAATAGGTTAAGGCAAAAAAATCATGAGAACTATTCAGATCAAATAAGGGACAAGAAGAATGAGTTATTGGTTTAAGCAATTATTGAGGTATCCCACTGATTCAAAGGCCTTTCTATTTATTTCGGTTTAACCAGTTGTATAGGATCACAAATCTTTAGACAGAGTAGCTTGAAAAGCAAAGTAGACCTGGTTATCCGGGGTGAAATCGTAATCTAATAATTAAAGGTATTTAAATTTAATGACGAAGCCATTTATATTGTTCAAGACAGTCAGATGTTATTGCTATCACTTACATGCAAAGTGTAACTGTTTTAAAATGAGTACAAAAACCCATACATGGTTACCGAGTTACAGTATTAAATCGACTAACTAACCTACACACTTGTTACCATAACGATGAAATGTATTTAGCTTTCATTCGAATTTCGTAATAATTGTGATAGCGAAACAAGGCCTACAGAATAGTCAATAAATTTCTGTAATTCAATGCAGTAATTTGAGCGTAGGAAGAGAATAAGCTACTCAAAAATCTGACTGCACAAAAACTACTTTAGACGAACTTACTCTCTACGCCATGGAGTTGAGCTACCAGTGTCCATATCCAGATTTTTAGATCTAGGAGAATAAGTGGAAAATAAAACAAAACAAAGGAAATTTATTAAAAATCTATGAAAGTTATTACTTAAATTAAAACTGACATGTACTAGTAAATTGATGTAAATTTTTGTTCAGAATATCTATCATATACGAAATACTGTTTCAGTGAATTAATAGAACCGTAAACAATGTTATGCTGCACCGTGTCTGATTCTGGTACATAAACCTTCTTCTTATACACGAGTCCGACCAGCTAATTCAATGAGAAATACAAGAGTAGGGAACTTTTATTTTCCAACTGAAATAAGAAATATGTGAATATTCATTAGTATACACATCTTTGTCCCCAATAAAGTAAAGCTAAAATTCAAACTAATGGGGTATGTCTGATCATTTAAAAAGGAGGTCGAATCCCGGCCAACAGCACGCCCTTACCATCTGAGTTACATCTGATTGGTCTAGATGGTACTGTTCGAGAAAAGATACACGTGGTACATGTAAAAATTGATTTCATTCACGGTCATTATAGCTGTTCTGAACCATATAACCCAACGTCTTTAACCACTGTTCGTGGTACCAATACAGTTGAATTTACCAGTCTATGATTTCATAAACTAATGTCTGAGCTCTTTAGATCTTCTATTCCAACTTAATCTTACTTCAGTCAACATTATGTGTTGAGGTAAGTCATGATTGGATATGTCTAGCACATATCAATGTCAATTCAGACGATAAGAATTCAAAGCTGTATAGTCACCACCCAATAATCTATATCTCACTTCAGCATTACTCAGTGATTTAACTACATGCAAGCGATGCTTTGAAGACACTTGAAACTCAAGTATGTTTTACTCCAACATAACTCTATATGTTGAATTATTATTTTTGTTAACAGTAGCTGATACCTTGAAGTGTTTTCTTTCTCGTCGCTTATCATAAAAGCACAAACAAGCCGTATTAATTGGAGCATTGTTGCATAATATTGACTGAATTTATGCTTTACAAAATTAGCACATCAGATTCGGATAAACTGAAATCATGAGTCAATTGAAGCTAGACCACCATGGAAAACCTGGAAGCACTAAACGGTCGTTTTGTCCTAATATGGGACTCCTCTAAAATCACAAAACCCCTTCTGAAGATTATAAGTTTAAAACAATCTATAAAATTTGACAAGTCAATTTGATATAATCTTATCATTATTGTTGAAAGTGAATGACACAATCAGTTAGAACTTATATAATAACTGATTAAATGTAAAGAAAAACAAAAATAACCAATTAGTCAGGATATTTATCTCTTACGCTCTATTGAATCCACCACCCATTGAACTACCACCTCTACCGAATGGTCTTGTTCGTTCAGTTTCTATAATTATTTAAGAAAAGAAATACATTAATTGCCGAAATAAATCGGTGAGAATGTACATAGTATACATGGTTCATAATACCAAAAAGAAGAAATATACATATGCTGAAGAAGTTAACAACAATGATTTGTCGTATAATGGGTCTGCGAAACCACATCATCAAATAAGACAGACGAATTATTACATAATAATCACTTCTAAAATAGATGAAATACAAGCATTAGATTGAGGTGTATATGAAGACAGTGAAATTAGCAGCTTATATCCCAATATAAAAAAGACAAAGAATAGATAACAAATAAAAAAGTTACTTGGAAACTAGGTTCATAAGATTACGTAATAAATGGAAATAGCTCAAAATAATTGGGGCATAAGGAGTCTAATTAACAATTTTGTTGAGATTACAAACTGATTTAACTAGATCATCATCGGAAACATAGAAGCATGAGTATAGGACTTCACAGCAGTGCATATTCATGATCTCTCAACTAAAAATCAAACCCAGGACCCTTAGTCTGGCGCATGAGTACCTAACTTATAGACAGCTGAGCCGAGCATTTGATGGTATACAAATATAACTTTCATCGATAAATGATACTGCCTGACCGTCTTTCATTGACTTTAGTGGGTATCTTCCTCACAATCCAGTGGACACAGCTTCGTATTAGAACATCGGAAATTTCTCTCCGAAATAATTCACTAGCGAGTACATGATAATTAACAGTATGGGGTTGCGGATACTGTTGACTTTCACTGAAACCATAAATTAAATCTAGGCAACCGTAGAAAACCGAGGTATGAGGAACAATAAAATATAGTCAAGCACTATCATGGAGCGATTCAAGTCAGACTTGTACACGATTAGATGCCCAGTAGTCTAAGGGTTAGGCGATTGAGGATGACACCGAGAGTCCTGAGTCGCACTCCCGGTCGCGGGGTCACGTATACACACTACTTGGGAGCCCCAGTCTAGCAAGAAACGGGCGTTTAGGCTTTGAGGTTTTCACTGGTTGTCTAACTAAGATCAGTTCGTGATTTTAATAAAATTCGGCAGTCTCCCCAACCCATCCCTAAAACTATTTTATTATTAGTAGATAGAAAATGTAATCAAGGTCCATACAGTGCTATAAGTAAAAGTAGACTGTTTCAACCAATAAGTAATATAACGGTGATTGGTTGGCTAAAATAGCTTTCCACAGTACGAAAATATTGGAAGATTTGACGAATCAGCACTACTCAACAGGTCAAACCTACTTGAACGTGTCTAAAATCTATGTAATATTAAATGATATGAGCTGATAAAGATAAGTGAGACAAAGTAGTATGTAAGTACGTGAAAACTGGTCAATAGATTAAAGCTATTGGATAAAAAAATATAAGGTGACAGCAAACTAAATGCTGAATTAGAATCATTAAATATTAAGTTACAAATTAGTTAGAGATTGTCACAATATAAAATAATATTTGCATAAATGATGCCAAGTTCAATTGTGAATAATAATAATTGTATAGATCGATTAACTAAAACCACATTAGAATTTCACAATTAAAGATCAGTACGAATTTCGAATGCTATAAGTGTACAGATGTTGGACAATGACACTTTAAGTGAATTCGTATGTTTTCTTATTCTGAGTAATTTGGAATACTTCGTCAATCGAAAATTAAAAAATAAAATAAAAATATGATTCAAGTTTCACTTAAAGTTTGAAAATACATGTTGATTGTGCTAGGCAGTGAAATTTTCGATGTGTGTTTCATCGCTCTCCTGCATCTTCCTGTTGAAGTTCATACAAAGACTTGAGTCCAGTACCCCTGACACTTCATTAAACATCAAAGTTATGTTCAGAAAACAATGTTTAATTTTTAACATAATTTCCTTCAACAAATGAAGAGTAACCATTTTGAAAAAAATTCTAAAATATACATGTTCGAACTGTCATCTGCTTTTGCAACCTCAAGCGATGCCCATCAAGGCTGTCCACTTTTTCCATTTTTGTTTAACTTCATCATAGACCTATTGATGGAAATAACATTCTCGTTGGCTGAATTTTCGTTCATTGATCTCCTACCAGGAGGTCCACTTATCGACTTAGAATACGCAAATGACATAGTCCTGTTTGGTGAAGACGCTGATAAAATGCAGAGTCTTCTGGTAGCACTAAGCAACAATGCAGAATGTTTGGAATGCGCTTCTCTCCCTCTAAATGCAAGTTGTTGCTTCAGGACTGGTCTGTGTCAAAACCTGAACTAAGGATAGGGAGTGAAGTAGTCGAACGCGGTGACAACACTTATCTTGGAAGTCTGATCATCACTAATGGGTTAGTGTCTGACAAAATCTCTGTACGGATTCGAAAAGCTCTCTTGGCTTTTGCCAACCTGTGTCACCTATGGCGAAGGCGAGATATCCGTTCATCAATTATGGGACGAGTACACTGCTCGGCAGTCCATTCTGTTTTAATTTACGGCTGCGAAACATGGCCATTAAGAGTAGAAGATACTCGTAAGCTACTAGTATTTGACCACAGATGTCTTAGAAATATTGCTGGGATCACCGGGTAAGTAACAGGGAGATTAGACATAGGGTATTAGGGAATGATAGTAAATCAAATGATGAGGTTGTGAATCTTCATCGACTGAGATGGTTGGGGCATGTGTTACGGATGCCTGAACACCGATTACGACGACGTGCAATGCTAACCGATGTTGGGGATAGCTGGAAGAAAGTTAGGGGCGGTCAAACCAAAACGTGGCATCAGTTCCTGAAGTCACTAACTTCATGTATGAGCCATGTTGGTAGATGCAGACTATTTGATTGGGTGCACACGCGACTATCGTAACCAATGGTTGGAGGCTCTGGGTAGCATCACTCAGAATCGATCACAATAGCGTCGGTGTAAACACTCTTTGTCTTCCCTTAAACTATGAGATTAAAATGGCTTCATATCTTTCTACGCACTAAATCTTTCTTCCTGTATTATGTCCTTATATGCAATCTTTTTTTATACATTACCACCACTGAATTAACTACTCCTATGAATCCGGTGTTCATCTTGCTGTGCTAATGCGGTATGGGAACTTGGACCGATGCATATATGTGCCTAGTCCTATGTTGTAGCTGACTGACTGACTTTGTTTAGAAACAGTAAATTCGATATGAACAATCCGAAAAAATTACGATTAATAAATAACCCATGAGAGAGCCTTAAATGGTAAACACGTGACAACCGATTGATCCTGTCGTGCCGCGCTTTATTTAAGCAAGTAAAATGGCACATTGATAGAATGGGAGGTTGGATGGTGACGAAGGAAGAACATGTCTGTCAATGGCAATCGTATTAATATCTGTGTTTGAGCTGAAATACTTACGAAATAGAAGCCAGAAGTTCTTTTACGAGGCTACATAACCTAGAGGACAAATCCACAAGAGAGTGAAGCAACGTCAGGTGATATAGTTCTATGGTGGCCGGTGACTAAAACAGGTTCGTATAATTGTTGTTTGTTTAGGATCCCAGAGACCATGAAGGGTATTGGTTTGGAATTAAGGTTTTTCAACCATAGCTGTCTTTATTCAACAACTTGATTTAAGCTTCACAAGTCAGCTTTTCTACCTTTCACTTTCATGAAAACACCCTTTCAGTGAGGATTTCCCTACCAGAAGTTGTAGACATTCAGTCGTATGAGAGCATTTAGAGAATAAGCTTCCAAAGGCAACAAAAAAACTTACCTCTACGTGATCCAACCTGAGTCCAACCACCAGCGTTACCAGAGTCATCTTCATATAGAAGCGAATCAAATTCAGAAGGAACAGCTAAAAAAGCGAAGATTTCAGTAGCGAAAGATGACGATACTGTATATATATATATATATATATATATATATATATATATACAGAATAATGCTTTAACTTACTTCTTCGCGGACCACTTCGACTCCAAGTATCTTTGGAAGGATCACTACGGAGAGTTGGTGTATTATCGAAACCAACTATATATGTATATATAAATAAAATGAAAAAATTTTGTAAAAAAGGGATTCTTCGCACATAAATAAAATGTTTGATTTTATTAGGAAAAAATATCTGATTTACCTCGTTTACTTCCCGATGACCGACCAAAATCTGAATATCTTGACGTATCATCACGTCGAAAGTCTAAAGTGAAATTAAAAACGATAGTTTGTAAATTTGTGCTAGTTCCAGGATAAAGAGGTGTTGTATATTCCATAAGCACCAGGAAGCACGAACGAACAAGCACACAACTCATGCGTATATATACAGTACAAAAATGTTTTTTGAAACGTTACAAAATAACGTACTAAAAGTGGAAACGAACTTATATTTATGGTCCTTCCAATTGGAAAATACAAACTGAAGGTGAAAATGGGTGCTTTTTGGTCGAAAATGAGAAATTCAAATTTCCAAAATGAAATTACAAGAATGAGACGTTTACCATGTGATTATTGGTGATCTAGCATCCTCAAACAAACCATACTAACAGTTTTTAGTTATTCTAAACATCATAAGTTATACTACTATTATTTCAACTGTTTCAAGTTGTACACCTTGTTACTTATTTTTATTTCATTCTCTCAATGCATATTTGTATCAAATGTTGAGTTGGTTATATCACCAATCAAGAATTAGTAATACGATCTGGCGACAACAAACAGATGATAAATGTGAAATTACTATGTTTCACGTTCAAACACTTGAAAAACTAAACTGAGCATAATAGATCCATATATGATACTAGATAGTTGAGACAAAAGATTAGATCATATGATGAACAAATCCTACCAAGAATAAAAAACGAAGTTTTATAGATCAGAATAACTAATTATTGACATGAGTTATAAGCAATCATATAAAGTAAAATCCAGAGTAGAATATAGTGAAATCAGAGTCAGGTATATAACATTCACTTATATTCCTATACCCGAATATGTCTTTTAATTTAAGTTAAAAGCGTAAGGTCACATTGTCGTTGCATTACTAATTCACTATGACTTGTATTTAAGGACAATTACTCCGCTCATAAATCATAGTAATTACAACTGACTAACTAAAAATGCATTTTTACTTATATTAAAGCCATTACAGGTAAGTAAAGTTCCGTTACAAAACTGAACGTTCCTCTCTCTCTCTCTCCCTTTCTCTAGTTAATGAATGGGAGAGGGTAGGAAACGAAAAGGTAGAAATAATTTTGCTCATTGTAAATAAGTTTGAGTTGCACGGATGCATTAAATTCTTATAATCCAATAAACTTAAAAAAAAACTTACCACGAAATGCGTTACCAGAAGCACTACTAATTTCAGATTGACGATGTCGAGCAAAAGGATTAACCGATACAGGTTCATCTGAATATTGTTGTTTTTTTATTTTTCAAACAAAAAAAGAAATTATTAATTAGTCAGTGAATGAATATTGAAAAGGAAGAAAAAAAAAGCAAACAGTTATAAATTCACATACATGTATTGATATCAGCTTCAGATTTCTTAGTAGATAATTGTTCACTTGTCATAGTAACTAAATTTTGGGTATGAATTTTGAAAGATGCATGTTTTACGTACAGATATGAACGGTAAAGAAATAGATAGAATAACAATTGATTTAAGAATTATTTCTTTTCATTCACAGGCATATAATTTTGATTCTATGGCTCTAAACATAACGGTCTATTAGAATGTAAAGTATTCCATCCGAATTAAGATTTATATGAACAGAGCTGAGCTATGTTGGTAGGTGTAGACTATCTGGTTGGGGACCGCGAGATGATAGCAACCGGTCGTTAGAGACCTTGAATGACATGGCTCAAAATCGTTTGCAATGACGCAGGCGCATACAATCTTTGTGGTCTCCCGAATTCTTCATGTCCCTGTTTTCCTCTTTCTAAATTGATTTCACTGGATTATACTCGTTGAATAACACCTTCAAACCCTGATCTTTCCGATTACTGCTTATGCTCGTACTACCTCCACCACCATGGAATTTGAATTGACAACTGCATCTCTATGCTAATGTGGTATGGCAACTCGAACATATGTACCTACATACGAAGTTCAACGTTGTTAATGACTGACTTATATAAACAGAATATAGGTAACAATGCCAAGGCTGAACATGATAAAGTCAATAAACAGTTTTTAATAGAAAAAAATTCAATAACTAAAATTTTGTGGTGTCCTATTCAGTGGAAATTTGGATTTTTGACGTTTGATGATGACTTAATGTAAGTCACTTCTTCAGGGTAAATAATAAAATAATAATAATGTAAACTTGTGTTGATTCAATCTGGTCATTTGTTTACGCTAAAGAAGACGACTGACATTATATTATGAAACGTCAGAAATCTAACTTTCTACTCATTGGGACATAGCAAGAATAATGACTGTTCTAATTCATGGGTTTATTGTTTCTGCAAAAGGTTCTGATTTAATGAAGATATATGTATCTACAACGTAGGACCAAGCACATATGCATCAACTCAAGTTGCCATACCTCATTAGCCATATACCTATGAACAACCTGGCCGCGATCCGTGCCAATCAGTGATTGGAGACGGGCGAGATAGTTTGGAATTAGTCACAATAGTCTATGTGCGTTCACCATTCCTCTTTCCTAACTTACTTACTCCTGTAAACATAGGCCGTCCACTAGTATTCTTTTTCCACTTTTTTTTATGTATAATTTTTCTAATACTAACAATTGCACTACATTGACATTTTTTTGATTGTATCTCTTTGTGATGATATAGTGTGGCATCTTGAACTGATCCACATATGTTCCACCTCATATATTGATGATAACTGATATTTTGAAGCACAGGTTAGGTATGGCTTATTGTGTTTTGTGTAATCAATTTTTGTATGGAATTTTCTAATGGACCAACTGGTGGTTGATTAAACAACAGAAAAGATAACTAATTTTGCCACATTCATGGATATGTAAAGAATCCAACTCTTTTTTAGGAGATGATTATTTTGTGCATGCCAGTAAACTTATAATTTAATCAATGTTTTAATGAGTATTTCGTATAATCATCTAGGAAATATATATGAGATGGTGAAGACTTGTAGATCAGGTGGATGATTTTGATGGAGTTTTGTTCCCTGAGCTGGATGGTTTGGTCGTGGAGCTTTCATCGTTCTCCATATGTATATGGAGAAATTCGAACACTTGACTTCTATTTGAAGTTTGTGCTGATGATGTCGTTCAGAAGAACGATAAATACTCCACGACCAAACCATCCAGCTCAGAGAACAAAACTCCATCAAAAAGGAAATATATATCCCAACATATTATATATTTAGTCTATAAATCTAGAGTATTTAGAGTAATTCATTAAATTATTTTTAATAAGGTTTGAACTTATCATTTACAAACTGAAAACAACAAAGATATGAGTCGATTAACTTGAAGTTATATCTCTTTCTTGGTCAGAGAAGATTTACTAAACTTTTGATAAGTCTTACTGATAGATTTTATGTTAAAAGTAGATATTTTTTTACAACTTGAAGACAGAATGCATTTTAAGGAAATTGATATCAGCTATGAAGTCGTTGTCAACCGAAAAGTCATAGATATAACTATTGGAAAATAATTTGTTCAAAGGTTCAGTTTTTTTACTAACTGGTTTTACGGTTCTATGTCAATTTTCTAGGTGTACACATACTTAGATAAGAAAATTAAATTTAAATGAAAATGTAGTTCAGCATGATTTTTCATAAGTTTTCATTGCTTCTTATCAATCAGTCAGCTACAACGTAGAACCGGGCACATATATGCATCCATCCAAGTTGCCACACCTTATTAACACAACAAGATGAACATCAAATTCGTAGTAGTTAATTCAATGGTAGTGATATATAAAAGAACGATTGCATATAAATATCTAATACAAGAAATAAAAACTAGTTCGTAGAAACAAAGGCATAAAGCAATTTCAATCTTATGGTTTAAGGAAAGAGAGTACTCATCTACGCCACTGTGACTGATTCTGAGCCATGTCACCAAGAGTCTCCAACCATTGGTTACGCTAGTCACACGGACCCCAATCAAGTAGTCTGCATCTATCAACGTGGCTCAGACCAGGAGTTAGTGACTTTGTGGATTGATTCCACGTTTTGGTTTGGCCGCCCCTAACATTTTACCATCCACCCCCGACATTAGTCAGCATTGCGCGCCGTGGTAATCGATGTTCAGGCATGTGTGATACATGACCAAGCCGTGTTAGGCGATATAGGTTCTCAACCCCACAAACGGATTTCTTATAAGTGAGAAAGACATTAATTTCTTGAAAAAAGTTGTTATTTAAAATACAGTGAATGACAAGTTGAAGTGTTTTTTCTTTGATATTTCCCAAATGAATACATGGCGTAATTATATTTCGTATTGATATGTTGCTTGACTTAGAAAGTTACACATTAGATTTTACCTTTATTGAATTTAATAGTTTCTCATATAAAGAATATCAGCAAGTTAGCAAATAAAATAAAAGCATAACTCGAAATAAATACAAACCTCTTTTAATATCTCCACGTTTCCATGCCTTGGACTCTTCCTCAATTCGAGCAGCCTCACGTTCTGCCGCTTCTTTAGCTTCTGTAATATATCCATGAAAGAAGTAGGAGGAAAGAAAAACAGTGCAAAAATAATAAAAGACTACTTATCAATCGGAAAATGTTTTAACTAATTTATTCTGGTTAGTGTTTTTCTAGTAAGGTTTTTTTCTACGGGACACGGTTTCTGACCCCATGCCCAACTCTCCTTTATCCGGACTTGAAACCGGCAGTAACCCTAGAAGGGCTACAGGCGTAAGTAGTCAGTAAAATTAACAATTATTATCATCAATGGATAATGTTTATTTTGTTAACTGAATATTATATATTAGTCTAGTCTATCACTTCGACTTACGCTCCATAAGACGTAATACGGGTAAGTAGTCAATTATCCTATCATCTAAAACTTGATAAGATTAAAGTGAGACTGTTAATGTTGATTAGGTGTGATGTAGTGTCTATGTCGTTAACAGGAATATCACAATTACAGTGAATATAATATGGACTAGATATTGAGATAGAACCGTTCTAAAATATATTTTAAAATTGAATAGATAGAACCTATTGGTTAATTCTATTATAGACAAATGAAGTACCAAGATTTATTAAAAGTTGTGAATGATAAATTTTGTGCCTTTACGATACTGAACGTTGTGAATAAACAACAATATACTACTTATAAACAAGGTTAACAAAGGGAAACGGGAAAGAAGAAGGCCAAAGAACGCATTGCGTCGAGAATTGGAAGCAGACATCAAAAGGATTGTCTATGAAAGAGTTCGACGGAGAATGTTGGTGGGCAGCCAATGTTCCTCCACGAGAGGTAACAGGCGTAAGTACACAGAGTTTATGGGTGATTAAGTTAGAATAAAATCAAAATATTAAACAGTTAAAGAACACTAACTTTAGTGCTAAAGAAATAAGAGATAAGTGAACTATACAAAATAGGTGAAGTGAATAGAACGAAAGATAACAGTCAGTGTTATCATTGAATCACTATCAGGAAAATTATTTTTCAGAATAATAATTAAGATATACATCTGTGAATTTGTAAGGGCATCTACCTCTTAATATTCAGTATTTTTGTAATATTTAGAGTTTCTTTTTCATTGATTGAGTATGTGGATGCTATAGAAGAGGGTAATTTTCACTAATGATTCCATAACTTTCACTTTATTTGTTTGTTTTTTTCGATCCGGTAAGTCAAGATACACTACAGAGTAGTGTATTTACTGAAGACATATGCAAATAAATTTCAATGAATCAAATTAAGTCCCAAATGAGAATTGCACTGTAGCATTGAGACACTAAACGAATGGAGTACTTGAAAATGGCTGGCATAGCAATTTTACTGAATAATGAAAACGAACGGTTATCCTTATATACGAATGAACAACAAATTGAATTTGATCCTGACATGAAAGATTGAATGTGAAACTGTTGGGGACGTTAGATCCCAGAACTCAGTTGGAAAAGGACCTAGTTTTGTAATTTTATTTAGAAAATTTGAATTTCTTTGTTTACGCGCCAAAAGCGCTCTTTTCACATTCATGTCGTATTTCCCACTTGAGAGAATCTTAAACGCTATTGGTCTGTTGTGTCTTTTAGTATGTTATTTTGTAACGCTTCCCAAGGACGTTTTTATTCTGTATATATACGTTTTGATTTGTCTGTTGTGATCGCTCGTTTCTGGCAGTTTGCGGAATATACTTCCCCATTCGGACTTCGACTTCTCTCTCTAGTAAGCGGGTATGGCACGCAACAGAATAGCTATTTATTGGTCTTTGGTCACAAGTCTTTGTTTTGTTCGCAGACTAAGTGAACTCATAACCGCTTCAAACCTAGCAGAAACAATTTTAGAAGCCTGATACGATTCACTTTGAATTTGGAGAGAAGACACCTACACAAATCTGTAACCATATAGCGATTTTGCGTAAGAATTTTGTGCAAGCATATACAGATATGTTTTAAGGATGAACACTCATTCATTTAACAAATAAGTGTGCCACTTTAAACTTATTAATTATTTTATACTAATTCACATGACTAATTATAAGTTTTTATTTATGTACAATTTTAATGTGTAACTGTTTATATGTCATCGACGATTTGGACAAAACAAACTCACCTAATTCACCATTTATGGTAACATTAAATAACACACATTATACAATGTAATCCACACATTATTAAATGGAAACTCATATCTCCTTTGTCCCCAAGTTTGGTTCGTTGATTAGGGCTTTTGTTATAACTCTGATAGGAATAATCATGGTAGAAGCGTTTGGGTCTACTAGTGATACAAATTCACGCGGGATCTCAGTTATATCTAGTTAAAGTCTAACAACACAGAATCCAACATTTGGTATTTTTAAACAAAATCTAAGAAAAATGAAATACCTTGTTCTCGTTTCTGACGTTCAGCTTCTGCAGCTAGTTCACGTTGTTTCTGTTCTTCACGTTCAATTGCTTCTTGTGCAGCTCGACGACGTGCCTCAGCTTCTAATTCAGCCTCATGTTTAGCTCTTCTTTCAGCCAATCTTTCCGATCGTTTTTGGTCACACAGAGCCTCCCATTCTGCCAACTTAGCTCTATACCGATTATCACGAGCTTCTTTTAATTGACCAACAAGACGCTACAATTGTACATAGTAAAGAAACATATCTGAACTATCACCGAAGCATCAGAGCGATAAAAATGATGATCGAGGAATCTTAAATGAATTCATATCACATTGTACTTTATGGAACTAGAACTACGGTAGAAAATAGTTCCAAATGTTTGATACTATCATTAAATTAGTGATGAGAAAGTGTGACAAGTTCTATGATTTATTAATGCCCAGTACAAGGTGGATTTATTTTCAAAAAATTTGAAATTATACAAACTGTTTGATTCGATAACGAGACTGTTTTATCTTCAGAAAGAATTTTTCGATCAGTCGTATACCTTATTTACAGTCTGTAGTAGTATTTGGTAGATAAACGATATTCGTTTGAGATACTTCATAAGGTTTAACGAAGACAGTAAACACAACGAAAGTACCCAACTATTATGTATTTACGACATTTTGGTAGTATTAGTGATGAGTAAAGTTCAGAACCCTCGAAACCAAGTATGCCACTTATGATTTATTTCATGAAACTTTTGTAAAATGTTGCTCTATCACACTAAAGTTTCCTACACTCAGTCGGTTAGTATTAATGTAGAACTAGGCACAAATTTGTGGTAGTTTAAATTATTCAATCGTATCAGCACAGCAAGACAAATAGCAAGGAAATCGAAATGATATCAATGCGAATATTTATTGAGCATTCGACTCCAAAAGTGTAAGGACTAAGAATATGGCTTGAAAAGACGATGGAAAGATATAAATGAAGGAAGCAGGACTTCAAGATAAAAAGTACGTACACTTGGGCCATCATAACTGGTTCTGAGCCATGTCGACTAAAGTCTCAAACTATTGATCTCGATAATTGTACGTGATTCAACCACGTAGTCTAAACATACCTACATGGTTTAGTTTAATTACCAATGACTTTATGGGCTGATACGACGTCTTGCTTTGGACACACCTAGCTCTTTTAATCTACTAATACACCAGCAAACATCGGGGTTCGATGTCGGTGATCGTTTGACGTACGCGAAACATGTTCCAACCGTCTTCTCAGTTCATGGAGGTCCATTGATTTACCAAAGAATATACCGTCACTTATTACTTTACGTCTAACTTCGGAATAGCTCACTCTGTCAGAGACCGATGATCAAACATTGTTAACCTATAAATATCCTGTTTTTGAATGCCATGTTTTACAACCATAAAGTATAACAGAACGAAAAGCTGTGCATTTTACTCATTCTTTCTTGGCTTCTTGTTTCCCGATTGTTGAAGACTATTGTAATACGAAGTTACACAGGTTTCAACCAAACTCCTTAGGTGAGCGGTACTAACTAACTGACTGAACCGAGCAAAATATGTGAATCGGGTTTTAAACCTTGGATATACTGTTCTAAGCTAGACATTAAAAACAAGACAATTTGAATTAACATTCACAACTAAACGTAAGCTAACAAGACAGTTTAAAAATGTATTTTGAAATATATAAGCTTTTCATTAGACTATAAGTTGCTTCAATTGTGAAAATCTGTTACAAGGAGCATCAACAAGTAACAACAATTTGTAAGACAGTCAGTCAACCAAATAGTGAATTTTTATTTTGAATATCCGACTTAAAAAAGAATGATTGTTTATTTAAATGGTATTAAAAACGAGTTAACAGGAGCAATTTATTTATCGTAAACTTTCAAGAATCCACTCGTTAAAAGATTTCGGGGACATGTACTACAACCAAACATTATCACTCAAGATGAAACTATCAGTAGATTAGATATTTCACTTTTCCTAGCACTATGAAGTTATTTATGAGCTAGCATTTACAATAGTAGAGTGATTACTTAGTATTTTGGGCTTTCCACTTTCAGCCATTAAGTCATAGATTTAAACGGTGTTCTATCTACTTCAATTTCGGCAACCGGGCAAGTACTACTAGCAATAAGACTTGAAGTGTGGCCCAAAGTCAAGGACACACACCTGTACTTGCAAAATAAGTTAAAACAACAGCTATGAACAAGTTGGCTACGAAGTTTGAAAACAGAAACGAACATGCAACAAAACGAATACCTGGACATCTGATTTCATTCGAATCAAGCGATTACGTTCTTTCAATTGTCGTGCATGCTCGGCTTTCGAATGCTCCTCAATTTCTCTGACACTCTGCTCAAATAATTCACGAGATTCAATAGCTTCCGGCTCAATATTTGCCTGTAACAATGGGATTTCTTCAATACGACAAGCACGTGTATAATAGTCCAATTTTTTCGCCATTGTTTTAGCCTTCTCCGCTAGTTCTTTTCGCTTTTTCTTCACCTCTTGTTTCTGAACGATGAGAAACAAACAGAATGATTAAAACTAAAGTAGGAAAATAACAATTATCTTGACCATAGACAAACGCCAAACAATAAAATTACTACTATTTATTAAAGCTTTATTGATTGTTGGACTGAGTCATGTTGTTATAAGTCTCTCTTATTACAACCCAGCTATTCCTATTGCTTTGTATTCTCCGACACCAATTCACTCGATAAGTTCTCAAATCAGAACACGGTTGAACAGGAAATAGATTATATTCAAAATAACAAGGTTAGATGGAAGTAAGAAGCACAATAGGAAAAACGCTAGAATATTTATAGTTTTTTCTTTACATGAGAAGATTCTAGAGTGTAATCTGAGTATCGACTAGCGCTGATTTAATAAGAATTAGTCAATCAGTGTGCACCAACGAAATCATACATTGAGCATGCTTTGATCCAATCTGTGTCCCGATAACACATGTAAATGGGTGCAGACAACTCGGTTGGGGTCCATGTGATTTTCGTAGTCAAGGATTAAAGGCTTTGGTTGACATGGGTCTAAATGGTATACGATGGTGCAGGTGCATCCGATTTTTTGTCTCCCTCTCAAATCCGAAGATTATAAATCCCTCATTTGTTTTTATCTTTCCGAATCGAATCTTCGATGCCTGGTTTTTTTCACTACTGTTAATACTGTTACTATGCCTACTACACTGAGATTTAGTAATGAGGTATGGCAACTTAAGCCGATGTGCACATGTGCCAAGTTCTACGTTGATTATGACCGATTAACATATGCATTGGAAAATAAGATTATGGAAAAAATGTAAAACATTTGTTGCTAAGGTGATCACGGGATAACTCAAATTTTGTTAATAATCTTATAGTCTTGCAGATAACGGTAACCGCGAATGCTTTCTTCTTAACTCAATTTATTACATGACCTTTATCCATTTCTGATTAGTTGTCACTACTTTTCAGCATGCCTCAAAGTCACGCTTTCGTTACTATATATGCTAAGATGTGCTCAAATATCTAGTTTTTCTTACACTCCATCTTACAGTGGCCTCTGATAATTAATAAAATGTTGCATGCAAGATGTATAGTTTAGTCAAGTTCAGATTTGTCTCATTCATATTAGAAAACCTACAATCGTTCATCAACAACATTTGCCGTCAACCCAATACATAATCGTTTATAATCAAGAAATAACACTTGTAATAAAAAACTAAACACAAAAACATTTCATTTCATGCTACCAAAAGAGTGCTGAACATAACTGAAACCAACAATCAGAGGAGGCGAAGAGAGACTAAGCTTTTTTTAAAATTCGAATTTTGATAAACTTCTGTTGATTAGAAATTTAGGATCTGAAGAACGACAAATATATATAGGCACCTGCACCATTGTGAATGATTTTGAGCCACATCACCGAATGTCTCTAACCATAGATTATGATTATCACGTGGACTCTAACCAGATAGTTTGAACCTACCCACAGGGCTCAGTTTAATAGTCAGTGTCTTCATGGACTAATGATATGTTTTAATTTGGCCACATCTAGCTCTCTCTCGACCTATAAATATACCAACAAACATCGAGCATCTAGATAGTCAGTAGATAAGCATACATATTACATTATTTCAGTTGATCAAAACTCATTTTTTGGTTAATTGATTAGTCTCGCTTAGAATCCAACATTGACTGAGTATAAAAACATTGTAACCCCCTAAAAATAATTGATTTAATAACAACTCGAATTCCGAGAGTAAACAAGGGTGTATTGATTTTCTAGGAAATAATTTTACTAGTCTAGTGGTCAATACTTTAAGAGCATTTTTCCGGAAATTTTGCAAAACGACAAACACATGTAACACATAGAAGGTTAATTTATAAATGAATAATACTGAGAATAACATACTTGCTTGTTAATAAGTTTATCTGCATCAAAGTTTTCAAGCTGTTCTTCTGTTAACTCTTTTAAATCAAGTTTTGTATCAATTTTTAAATCTAAGAACATTTTCAAACTAGTACGTGCCATTCGTAATTTTAGACGAGCTTTCTCATCTTCAGTTTTCATTCGTTCACGTTGTATAGCTTCATTGGCCAAATTGGTTTCTTCCGCTTTCAATAGACGCTCTTGTTCCGCTTGACGTCTTGCTTCAACAATGCTGTAATACTAGATTGGTAAACAAAAAATAAAGAACGCTCAAGTATTTTTACTATTTTAGTGAAGATAAACTACAAACGACCATCTTTTTATTTAGTAAAACAAATTACCTGATCTCGTTTACCCTGATACGTCTCAATCTCTTCCTTTCGGGCTTCGATTAAACAACGTCGATTAAGCAATTCACTGCGTAAGACTTTTTCATTTTTCCGGTAATCTTGAACAAGTGCACGTCGACAGTTAGCTAAAGACTGACCAACTTCCAGAATATCAGTTATCTGTTGCATCACTTGAGCAAACATTGTTAGTTGACGAGACAATTTGTCTGGGTCATTTACATGGGTTGACTAAAAAAATTAAAAATAAAGTTACATTATCAAAAACACTTTTACATACGAAAACGCTCAAAATTTAAATTGACGTATATCAGATACTTTCAACTCTCGAAAGTGCAAAAGCAGTTTGTAGCATTCACTAAACAATATGCGATGTCGGAAACATAAGTCTACAATGGCTAGTGAAATAAAAAAGACTTTAATGTTGGGTACCTAGTAGGAAACCTTGAATCGTGCTAATTGGTACTCACCAGCAAAGTGCACCTAGAACCTTAAGGGAACTGGAGATCCCTCGTGAATTCAAATCCTCGTCACCTAGCTTCATAGTTTGAGATATTACCAACAAGATATTCGAATCACAAATGACCTATAAGACTGAGATACCTGTAAGTGATTGGTCAATGGCTAATCAGTTGTAATAGTGGGGACATCTAACATCATGAATAAACCATATTATTTGGAGTTTTAAAGATGGCAAGAAAATCAGCAACTGAGAACCATAGATGCGACTCGTTTGATATTTACATAAGGGCTATCCAAAATAACGTAGGTAGCGAAAAGTTATGAACATGAAGCTTACTAGTCAGTTTGTCATACATAACCGAGGATCTGGCACATATGTGGGTCGGTTCAGGTTGTCACATATTAACACAACAAGGCGAAAAACCAATAAGACTCCCAGAATAGTAAATAAGATTATGCATAGGTAAAATGATTCAGAAAGAAATAATAAATTCGCGGAATGAAAGAAGTGTAGGTATTTGAAAACAAACATTGAATACATCCGAGGTTTTATGGCCGATCATGTGCTACGTAACACAACGTATCCAATCATTAGTTACGACAATAGCGCGGACTCCAACCATGCAGTCTGAATCTACTAACACGTTTCAGTCAGATTATCAATGACTTCATCGACTGATGCTAAATACTAGTTTACCCGTCCGTAATCTACTGCTTGAAAAAGAAGTATCTCGATCAGTAAGTTACTACGTAGGTGATATGATTTTAGATAAATATTCGTAGTGTAAACATTTGTCAACACTTAAACAGTGAATCTTGTACTAGTTGAGTTTTTCGTTCTTCATTATTTTTTTTGTATTTCGTTATTTTTAAACAGTAACAAATTCAGATAATGCATGATTTGGTCCGAATTCGAAAGTTGTTGGGATTACCATTCTTCCAAAAAGCTATGTAGATGGATTAGGGGCCTTATCAATTTTGATTACTTAAACATTAAGAAACTTTTGCAGGAATACATAAAAACTTTTTGGTTTTTACCAACTTTGACAACCCGAGATGAAGAGAAACATATCTATCCGTTAAAAAGGAAGTATTCCCGTAAAACAGTTTGCCTTAGTATTATTTTATAAATGTCGAGGGTCTTCGAAGGGTAGGTAACTTGGTTATGTTTCTAGTGTTTGATCATGGATATCTTTAAGCATGATACTTGCGATCAATGAACTCAGTAAGTCGTGCTAACCTTAGACGCAGGGTACTGAGCAGGAATAAAAAATTGATCATTGGCTCAATAGACTACTATCGACCAAAACTGTTTAGATATAAATTCTACAAAGGCCAGGAGTAAAGTGGTCTCAGTTCATAGAATTATTGCTTCCTGAACGTTATCAAGAAATATAAGCTTTCTTGTTGGGGAATGAGGAGAAATTGCAACCTATCGCTGAAGAACTCAAATGATATGGCTTGAAATTAAACACAATGCACCGATATGTTTTTCGGTTTTTCTTTAGACTCAATTTTTTTCACTGCATAGGACGTGTAATCTTGTATATTTGGTGTAAATTATATTTTGTAAATAGACGACTTTTGTTAGTATTAAGGACCAATGGATAGTGGTTTTGTGTATGCTTTTAATGTTAGATAACATCTAAATTTCTATACAAGAGTCTACAGAAATAACATGACATTATAATCCTAGATAACGTGAGTGGTCAAAGAGTATTCGCGTAAAACAATGAGAATCGATAGAATGGAACGAGACGTTAGAAATTAATTAGTTTTTAAACTTGTTGAAGTTCACATTATATACGTTAAGCAAATAGACGGAACAAGATTAAAACTTGCGTTGTACAAATCAATCTGTACATACACATAAACTCATACCAGTCATTCAGATGAACTTTTTCCTAAATATTAAGGAACTGGTAGCATAATATACCTGTGATACTAACTGTCCACCATATTCACATTGACTTATTCCCAGATCTGTAAATTTATCAAAGAAAATCGCTTGTTGTAAATGATTGACTCGAATAGGCAGTTCCAAATTATGAATCAACTCAATTACAATCCTTTCAAGTCGAATAGGCTCCATGAATGGACATAGTTTGAAAAATTCGTTGAAATCCAAGCTTTGATAGACTTGAGATAATTGTAGAAGTGTTTTTGCTACGATAACATCGTGCAGTTGCGTAATGTACACTTGGAGATCTGAACAGGTGGTTATATGGGCAAGTGCTGGTTGAACAAGTTCCCAAAGTTTCAAAGGTTGAAAATCCGCTTCTAGAACTTGGTACAACTTAGCTAAATTTGACGGCACAACAGTGTGCACTTTATGACGAACCAGATCACGTATTAAACTTTGACGAGTTGGTACTTGAATGAGACCTAGAATTCAGTGAAATGTTACGAATAATTATTGGAAATAAATTACCCAAAAGTCCAGCAAGTGTTTTCTGCTTCATAATAGTGTACTCGCCAGATAAGAATTTGTCAGCATTCAGTTTCGCATTTGGCAAAGGAATGGCAACAGTTGCACAAAGTACACGAGATCCAAGATCAGATAGTTCTTCACGAGTTAAATTCTTTTTCTGATCACGATATAACGTGTAAAGTTTGTGTAAAGCAGCAGCGTGATATAAATGGCAACCGCATCGTCGAAAAAGTTCGGCTGTTTTTGAGTAGTAATTGGTCATTAATGAAGGCATAGCATGTATTCGTGAAATCATCATAAAACTCCAAATATCTTCAACAGTTTTAAAAGCTTCGTTATACATGTCTAGTTCCATAGCACAATCCAACTGTCGTAATCTAGTCTCTAAGTGTAATGTCTGTGTGTCGGCATTATTCAAATTTATAGCATTAGGTGCATTAGGTTGTAACTGATTCTGGACTTTCTGAGTATGTTGTCGAATCTTTTATAAGTATAAAGAAAATAATGTGATGGTTAAATGAAGAATTAACATACCAGTTCACACAGCTTTTTGAATTCCGTCTTCCGACCATACTTCAAGCAGAAGTTATAAGCTGTAAAGTGTACGAAAAAGTGGTTAGTAATGTCCAAGACTTACCATCATGAGCTACTTCATGATACAGCTTTTCTAACTTCGAATTGCTACGTAACAAATCTAGCACCAAACGATAGGAATCCCAGAGAAATTTTAACCATGGCATCAAAATCGTTCTAGCAGACCGGTCTTGAGTACCCTCCATACTAACTGCATTTAACATGAGACTATACAATGGAAAGAATAGGAAACAAGCACTCAAACCAACACGTAGAAAATGCAAGCAAAACTTAATTCTTTCATAAATTTAGTCTTTGACTAGTAATGAAAACTAAAAACGATACATTATTCTGTTTCCGATCACTGATTTATATGGCAGTACGCAAGTCCATATTGTCTCCTGATCATTTTTGTCAGCTGTTTCAGTAGTAATAATAATTATTACCAACTTATAACTAGTTATGGGTTCGTACACGGCTCCAAGCCATACTAAATGTGAGGGATAGTGATGCTACCTAGTTATTCAAATCTAAGGTGGAGCAGGGTTCGAGCCTGTGACCCCTGAGCCACCTATCAAGTATCTAATTTAGGTTGTTCGCTTTTTAGCCACAGTACTTGTGAGGATTAGTGATAATAGATATTCTCGCAGGCCAAAGCAAATGTAACCAGTTGATTATAACCTGAGTGCTTCTAGTTAATAAACCACCGCTGATCCATTTTCTGTCACTGACTTTAAGGTCACAGCCTGTTTGGATTTCACCCATACCTCAGGTAGGTTGGTCATATGAGTGTTGGTAGCAACCAACTAATTCTTAGTGTATGTTCGGAATATGACCTGCTCCACTACTACAAGAGCTCGAGGTCCAAAACAACTATATGAAAATCATTAAGTGATTTCCTCAAAGATTGAATGCAATGAAAATGCCCGAAGATATTTATGTTGTCTATTACTAACAACCATGTCTTACAGTCCTTAGGTAAAAAGGTGTACCAACACATACTACAAATATATTGCATGATAATGAAACTCAAAAACACGTAAGGAAGAACTAAATGCATACAACCTACAAACCTTTCTGGAGTTTCCAGGACATCCAAATCCTCAATTTCCATGATAGCACTCTTTGACACTTCTTGAGCTTCTTCAGTTTTACCCTTTATCTGGTTCAGGTAATAACGAATAACTTGCTCGAGTGAAATAGTGTTTTCCTAATAGATATTAGCGGAATAAAAATATTAAGGATAGAAAAGAGATTACCATAACACTCATATTTTTGTACGTATAAATTGCTTTTCTGAAGTGGATGTTCTTACGGAGTTCTACACAAAGTTCAACAAACAGCATCATTAATTCTTCTAAGACCTTTTGCCATTGTTTAGTTCGTCTAACTCGCATCACTTCGTACAAAATTTCCAAAGCGTTAGACTTTTTGTCACATTTTATAAGTTCTATTTAATAAAAAGGAGAAAATGTTAATTATATATATATAATGCATGTTAATTGAGAGGATGTTTGAAAAATTAGCCCACGAAGCAAATGGAAACGGAAAACAGAATAATGTAAGTGCAATAACGCTTTTATGGACCAATCTGTTAAAGATAGAAATCACATATGTACAGCCCCCAAATGCCCTGGTATGGCCGAGAGTGGGGTGGGTTCGCCCTCCCTCTCGAAATACTCTCACACGGCCGCGCGTATACAGCCTCTGCCAGGGAAGTCCTACTCACTGCCTTCTCGTGGCGGGGGTGTTGTTTACGAAAATGAGAGGACGAAAAGCGAATGTCCGGTGCTTTAACCGGATTCCAAATCTATGGTGCACATGGGCTCCAGTATCCTGCGGGAACAAATGGCGTATGAACCAATTTTCGGTCACCGGCTACCATAGGACTGCATCTCCTTACGATGCTCCACTGCCTTGTGGGTTAGACCTTTAGGTCAAAGGCTCGGGGAGTGGCCCACTAAGATAACCACCTGCTTCGATCTGGGCACCCGGGCAGTATCGCAGCCCACACGCAATTAATGAACTGAAATTGTGTGGCGCATATATATTTGGCGCACTCCTGCACCAATATGTGTTCAAATAATACGTATGTACAACACGCAAAAGTATAATACTAATCTTAACGTCTTTTGTATTACTAAAATTCGGAAATTTTTAAAATTGGTGACTGCTTCACTCGTAAAATGTATGAAAATGGGCATTTGTATGGCAGTCACGATGAAAAAAGCCCAGAGTAGCCAGGCATTTATTTGTACCTTGAGCTTACGGGAAAAATATCAAAAGTTAGCACTAACTAAACAAGATTTTCTATTTTTGAGAGAAGATAGGTGCTATCACAGATGACCTGACAGGTCGAGTTCCCCTAACAAACCAACGTAGTGGTGAATTTAACAGAACATGTAGTGTAATAGCACAATAATGGTGAAATTTATGTTGATACGGTAAGACTAAATATATAGACGGCTTAAAATGGAGAAAACCGGCAAATTGGAATTTTCCAGTGGCAGTGTAAAATCTCTAAATTGAAATCAAATTATATAAATGTAACTACGTCACTGTGTCCAAATTTGAGCCACCTTACCCACGGTCTCTAATCACTGATTATGACCATTGCCTCAAGCAAGTAGTCGACACCTTACACAGCTTAATCCGATAATCGATGACTTTATAGAAAAACTATCTTGTTTTGACTGCAATTAGCTTTGCTTTAACATACTTGTACCCCATCCATCATGTCTCAAGGTAGGTGGTTAAAAGATTTTCAACATATAATCTACGTCACAGTCGAGTTTATAAACATGTACTTGACATACAAGTTACTCAACTTCGGCTATGGTCCAAACAATAAAAGATGCTGATCTTCCTTAATAAATTACATAGACAAATGCAATAATTGATGTAGATGATTTTAACAATTAAATAGTCTTAGTTAAGCAGGAATATCAACAGAAACTAGACACTTCCAGCATAGCAAACGCTGCTACAATCGCCTGTTGTAATTAGAATCACTATACATTCGCACGAAGTCAACGTTATCCAAGACTGATTTACTTCTGAATATTTAGGGATTTAGAATCAATAGAACTGGTTACAAAATATGAATAGCCACCTCATAGTGTTGAACTAAGGATAGCAGATTAGTAGTGACAACTTCAAGGGTGAGTCAGTTCGTGACGCTTTTATATGTGCGTTAAGCTTATGCAGTGGTTATGAACTATCTCCAGATAATCATCATCGTCTGTTACAGACTAAGTAATGTCTCGAGAGCACTCACAGAAACTGTTTCCTCTCTAATCTTGCACATCACATACTTTTGGTATTTTACTATTTAGTTCTTTACGGCTATATTATGATTATCAAAAGAATAAGTGTTCGAGGTCACCACACAAATTGCAGCAGATAGTAAGAACTTGAGCACTAAGTTATACGTCTCTTAACCAACAAGATAAATAACTTTTGCAGCAGTGTCTGAGGATATAATATAACGTAAAGCATAAAAATGTGTATTACAATTGTGTCAACCACTGGGTTTAAATTTTTTTTCCTAAGGATACTAATTATTCATCCGGGTTAGTAGTACGCAAAGCTAAAAAAAATAACCAATGAAGCCCTAATAACTATGTCAAGAGCTTCACAAATTCTGAACACACGTCAACAATTTGCCTCGAGTTTCGAAACATGTTTGCACGTCGGTGACAGCGCTACGAGCAGAATGACATTTAACTGGTCTCAAAAAAGCTCGCCATTTAAAAAAGAATAACTAACGCTAACAATCTAAACGTTTTTCACGGTGCTAGTTTTTAAATATTCTCAACAAGCAAAATCTGTGATTAGTCACTGGTTTCGTACGCCTCGGCGTCCCATATGAGAGAATACAGTTAACGTAATTGTCCAAACGCCAAAAATGTAAATGCTCGACTTCAACTGGAAATCCATACAATCACTCATAGCTTGTATGGCCAATGGTTGATTCCCAGAACTGGAAGGAACCCACTGGGACATGACGCGTCGAACAATGTAATTTTTGCAAGGACGTTTACAACATACCTCTTGCTTTAGTCAATGCAGTTTCCGGCTTATGATACTGGCTTGGAGGCATTATCACATGAAGACACGCGAACACACAACGTTCAACTAGAGCGGTACACACGAGTGATTAAAAGTGACTTCAATCTTGAATCATCGTCATACAATCCTAGCAGACTTATTGTTCGTTGCGATTCATGCTCAGCCTTCATTCAACTGATTTTTATTCATATAGTTAACACACAGTTTAAGATAAGGTTCTTCTGCTATGACAAATGTGCTTCTACAATAATGTTTGGAATCCAAAGGTTTTTGAGATGAAACATATAACTATAAGTAAATGTGGTATTTGAGTTCAGGCCACAGAATATATTTATTTGGTGCCCAAACATAAACTCTCGGACAGATTAACTCTGCAGAAATATATCCCCGCTACTTCACATATTCCAAAATATACAGTTTCAGTTTGCGAAAGGTCAATGGTAGGATGGCCTGTTAATCCTAATGATTGAGATATTCCAGCGGGCTCAACTTTTTTCAAAATCCATAGACAAGTTAGGCTTTAGCCGCATGTCAAGGTTGGGAATTCCATTGGTTGGCAGTTCGATGGACAAGATGGTGACTTATTTCAGACATGCGAACGGTTGGGAGTATCCTTGTGAATTCTCTGTTCCAGAGGACGGCAGAAATTTACGACTGGGCAATTCTAAAACAGCGAAAATGTCTTTTTTATTCCTTCTACATGACGTGGAGAACAGATTTATTTGCCAAACCTCTCTCAACATATCTGTCTTTATTAAGCAGTGGATAGGTGAAGAAGTTTCAGTTTCGTTCGAACAGCCACTGTAAACAGGGTGAAAAATATCATAACATCTACGCAGACCAAAGATCTACGCAGTGATTAAAGTCTACTTAAACATTCAGCAGCTGAAACATAGCGACAAATATTGGTTTACAAGTCTCAGTTGTCAGCGGACCTTAGATAAGTATATGCCCTAACCACATGCATATTACGGGCATCAGTAGAACATGTATCTGTTCTTGAGCCACAAGCATGCATTATAATGCATTCGGGAGTAATAATCACTAACTGCCTAATTTCGAACATGTTATTTTGAGGCTGTGAAATATTCGTTCCCTACTGTGGTGTATGATGCATTTGTCGACAGACATACGTAATGTGTAACACAAGTCAGAAGTGGAATGCCAGGCAACAGAAGGTTAAGAGGATCAGTTTGAGGAGAATAGTAATGGAAACAGAGAGTAATTGTAAAAGCAATGAAGGAACGATGGAGTTTGAGACAATCGATGGAAGATTTGCAAATAAGTATTTATTGTGTAGTTTTTCACATTTTACGAAAGAACTGTGCAATTTCGGACTGAATAATTGAAGTGGTTTTCTCAATCTCAGATGTCGTTCACCACTCTCTTATCTGTATCTTGAGTATATGATAAGGCTGATCATGAAGAGACTAGAAAATTCATAAGGATATAAGAAGAATAAAATTGGCCATAAAACTGTACTCTATATCAATCAACAAGACATGGTTTTTGGGCTAGATGACTTAGAGTTAATCCGTACTCTCCATTGGCATGTAACTAAACAAAAATCGTAACTTATTCCAACCGTGCCTAATGTAGGCATTGATTCGGTAGGATTTTATCAAAAGCCTTGCCGGAGTTAATAAATTTTATATGTATGGTTAACTTCTGACCCCTCAGAACGCGATGATAGCTTATTGGGACATCAATAACCTATTTTGTAGCCATTCTGATCTTCAGAGATAATCTAACCTTTCCCAAACACTAAAATAACGTTTTGGAGAATGATCTTGCCTAGTATCTTTACAAGATGTGCGATTTTAGGTCTCATGTACACGCGGCTACCTGTTCTAAAGATAAAACTCGCTTTAACTATTAGTTAGTAATGAATGATATAGCTTAAGAGCTACTACCGTCCCATGAGTTTGACTAAGCCAAGGATATTTGTCCGATAAGAAATAATAAATTTTTGATCGTCGTAATATATAGAAGTATCAAGTTTTATCTGTTCCTGAAAGTAAAATACCTACACCATACTTATGCTGCTAAAGTAGCCTAAGAATATTTGAGCTTGTCATAATCGTTTTACATTAATGGTGTGCCAGCACCATCTCCATATAGTCCGGATAAATTCCCTTTCTTCTTCACCCTGCGTTTCGTGCGAGAAGATTCAGTATTATTTTAAACAAACATTGCTTCAGACCCCTTTCTGGACTTGAGCAGATCTTTAGGACAAGCATTTTTAACCTTCCGGTATTAAGACTTAGTCTCACCAGCGCGTAGTAACCTTACTCTTTCCAACATTACTTCCTTTGTACGGCAAGTGGTGTAGACGTTTCCACTGAAACATTTCGGAAATTCGTGGTTTTTAAGGGATTGTTCATGGTATTTGTGAACAGGTAATGGTAGGTTAGTGCATTTACTATCAATGATAATTGTGAACTTGAGTCAGGCCTCGTCGTCTTTTAATTTCCCGTAATGTTGAACACATTGTGACTGCACTGACAAGATTTCATCAAAATTATCTATCTAGTAACTCTATTCTCAAGTTCATTCAGTCATACATTTACGTTATAGTTTCATAGTCTTGGTCTCTTTATGATATAGGGCGAAATGTTGAATTTGACGTGAGAACCGTGATTCAACTTACACGAAGTATTATATAATAAATAACATTCCTTACCTCTTAAATTTCAGGCGGGAATCACTTTTTATACCCCACTCTCACGGGGCAATATTCCAATGAGCAGTGTTTCTTTCTTACTAATCTAGGTTCTGTCCATCCTTGAAAGTGTGACGTTTGTGAGGTAGAGTTTAACACTACATAAAGACTGAGCCTGTTGGGTGAACGTAGGTCATTCAAAGACCATTTAGGTAGCTTCGTGTTGCACACCATCCGTAATAAGTCATCTGCTCCCAAAACTTCATCACCTTAAAACTTATTATCGTGAGATCGTTCTCTCCGGCTTTTGACTCTAGTATCAGTTTATTTTGGGAAAGTCTTTTCGAATAAAACCCCTTACCCACTCAGACTGCCTCCACCTCTCATTATCAAGTTTCTGTATTTTTTAGATCCGAATATCACTTTAAGTAGCCCAGCTCTAGAATCAGTTACTTATTCACCTAGTCCATAAAGATTAGGTGAAGCAACCTCAGGGAGTTAGTTGGACACTCATCTAACCATTACAAGAAATATATAATTGCTCGCTCACACTAAAATGGGTAAGGATAATGCAACGCATTACATTTTAAATAACATTGAACTGCTAAAAATCTATTTAGCTAATGTGTATTCGATACTGAACTGCATATCATACCTTCCTTATTCAGAAATTATTAGTACATGTGTTTTCTTCGGCTGTTGACTTCAACTTGATTTCTGATGACCTCAGTTTTCGAAAATATAGGTAGCAGTTCCCAGTGTTGTAGAGATATGGGCGTTTTTGAATGGAAGCGGAATGTCACGCACTTCATGTGCGGTAATACTTTGTTGTATTTAGTGTTCTACCATAATGTCGTGTCTGTCACAGAGAATTTCGGCAAATACGTCCTATCTCGCGATCATGAATCCCCATTTTCCATTCATTTTTCGACGAATACAGTATGTAAATAATACCTACATGTTACAATGTTTGGTTGATCTATATTAATGAGCCACACCTTAGAGGTGATCCCATATGGTTACACATTTAGTAGATCTTGCCAAGTGAATCCAACACACTTTCTTCACAAGGTAAGTTAGTGAATACCAAAATGAGAGGCCATATTGCTTATGGCTTTCATCATTAGGTGTTATTATTCTCTTTTCAACTCCCGGGGCAGAGTTTAAGTGTTTTAGAATGTTAGTTCTGGCTGGCGTTTTCTAAAGAATAAGATTGCTAACCCCGTGCTCAATCCTCCTCCTTTACCTGGGCTTGGAACCGGCAGTAATTCTAGGAGATCTGCAAGGAAAGTTATTAGGAACATCAGCATCCATTAAATTTGCATCAGATGTTGATTCCTTCAGCTCATTTTTGCAAGGATTTCCATCAAAAATATGTGAATCATTGGGACAACTCATATTTGGTAAACCAACATGAGGAATTTATAAGGAATTGATTCATTAGAAGCTTTGTCTCACAGAAATTCCGAGTTGCATTTGATACAGTTGTATCCACTGTGTTGCCCCAATTATTTTCTCCAACTTTCCTGACAAATATCTCATGAAATGTTAGTTTGTTCTGCCTGTAGTTCGATTTCAGAGCAATATAAGGCTAACAAGTCTTCGCGCAATAACACAGGCAAATTATAGTCAAATCACATAAGTGCACAGCAAAACATCAGCATCTGAAAAGAAGCATAGGATACAGTGGACATCTAAGATGCACTTAGACGATCTAGAATTCGCAGACGATCTGGCCTTTCTATCCCCAACGCAACAACAAATGCAGGAGAAGACGACCAGTGTATCAGCAGCCTCAGCAGCAGCTTGTCTCAATATACACAATGGGAAAATTAAGATTCTCCGATACAACACAGCATGCATCAATCCAATCACAATTGACGGAGAAGATTTGGAAGATGTAAAAAAACTTTACATATTTGGGTAGCATCATTGATGAACACAGTGGATCTGATGGAGATGTGAAGGCGCGCATCGGCAAAGCAAGAGCAGCATATTTACAATCGAAAAACATGTGTTACTCAAAACAACTATCTGTCAACCAACACCAAAGTCAGAATTTTCAATACAAATGTCAACACAGTTCGACTGTATGGTACAGAAACCTTGAGAACTATGAAAGCCATCATCCAGAAAATACAGGTGTTTATTAACAGTTGTCTACGCAAAATACTTCAGATCCGTTAGCCGGACACTATTAGCAACAACGTGCTGTGGGAAAGAACAAACCAGATCCCAGAGAAGGAAGAAATTTGGAAGAGGCGCTGGAAGTGGATAGGACACACGCATTGAGGAAAGCACCCAACTGCGTGTGTCACAAGACAAGCCCTCACATGGAATCCTCAAGGCCGAAGGAGGAGACGAAGACCAAAGAACACATTACACCGAGAAATGGAGATAGACACGAGAAAAATTAATAAGAACTGGATGGAATTAGAAGAGAAGGCCCAGAACAGAGTGGGTTGGAGAATGCTGGTCGGCGGCCTATGCTCCATTGGGAGTAAGTAAGTAAGTAAGCAAGTAAGACAATGCAAAAGCTGACAATATGATTTGAGCATATATATACATGTAGGAGGAAATAAATCGTCGATTGATATTTAAACAATCAACATTTTATCTAGAGTCTATCATGTGACCGAGTGATCATAACGGTACAGAGAAATATGTAAATTGTTACTGTTCAAATAGAAATTTCTATTAAGTAAGTCAATGAACGGCCATAACCAAAATTAACCGTAGTCGAAATCGGTTGTAAAATAGTTGTAATATAATCTTCGAAAGCTTCGGAATTTGAATGTATATCTAACTGTTCAATCACAGGCGTCACAGAGATGCCAATATGGTAGTTACAAGAACTTGAATTATTATGCGAAATAGGTATCCCCCAAGTAAGGCAGTTTGAGTCAGGTAGAACTCTGTAAGTACAAACGAACGTTTTGTATTTCAAATTCGAAATCAACCACGAAATGGACCGTGAACGAAATATTAGTTCATGAAAACACCACAACTCTTCACACGTGTGTGATAATCTGCATATATTTTTTATTTTCTGTGTTTCTTACGCAACTCACGAGAATCGAATGCTATTCTCTCTATTTTTTGTATCCTAATTTACAATCTCATTTATGAAGTACACTTGTGCGGAACTCGATTTATTTCCGGCTTCTATATCCACATTACTACCAGCGTGATTATTTGACAGCGAATATATTAAATTGAGTAAGAAATATGCTGTATGAACACCCTCATCTCCTAATAATGCTAGAGTCAAACCGGTGCCTCGATCCTGTTTATATGGCGGAAGTTACTTCTAAGAGATGGGTACCGAATTATTAAGCTAAGCACTGTAGAATCAGCTACTGAGCAGGTAAGTATTGTGCTTGTACAAGAGGGTGTTATGGGACCTGTCTTACTCACTATATACGTCAACGATAAATTAGTGCTGATGCCCCGACGAACACAAGGCTGTCAAGTATTATTACACGAGTCAAACAGAAGACAATTTCTATGTCATCCATCTTGAATTGAACATGTGGCGACATGCATGACAAGCTTATTTGTAAATAGTTTTTGATGTTACTTGTATTTATTCTACTAGTTTTTCATAGCCTGCACATTTACTATTAAATGATTGTACGTGTTGTTTAAGTGCATGACCTTGAACACACTTTCTTCCGTCGTGTTACACTCATAGCTTGACACGCTCTGTTACCTACTAACAAATACACTGCTATACACATACCTCTTGTTCTCCATTTGCTCGTGATTGTGTTAACTGAACTCTAAATCAACTACTGTCTACATTTATAGACTGCAACCAAATTATACCATATTCTAAGTTTGGTTATATCACTGGAAGGGCATTAATCTTACTGAAATCTTCAGTCATCTATGATTGAGGATTTTGGTGCCAAACTCAACCGGAACACACACAAACCTGTTGAGTTAAGTGACGTCTCTAATTTTTATTGTGTTTATAACGTTTAACTGATATATACTAACATTACAGTTTGTACTTAATAACTGTGCTATCATTTTTGAGTTCATGTATTATTTGGTCCACCACAAACAGGGTCACTGAGTACTTTTGTCTCCTTATTCTTTCTTATCAACTTTAACTTCATAAATGTCCCATTATTATGGAAGCGAGTGTTTAATTAAAAAGGTATGGGGACAAATGTTTGTTTGATATCCTTGTAGTTTAATCGATCACAAAATACTTGAAAATAGTATGTACTGTTTTGAACTATGGTCAATAGGTAAATAGAGGTCCTAATGTAGCTTAATTTTTGCTGACTGAAGGTGGCTAATATGTCACATATTACTCCTATTCTGATTGAATTATGATTATGTGGTTGCATCTATTAAAGTATCAGTTCAATATACGTTAATATAGACTTCGCAGTGAAATATAACAAACTGAATAATAAAAATAGGCATCTTTTGTTCGAATTTTCGTAATAATTCACTTTATAAAAATGAATGTGAATAGATCGCATAGCATCCGTGTTTAGAAAATATCTGAAGTGGTAAAAAAGCCACTAAAATAATCAGTCTTATAAATACTTGACAATGATACCGACACTGTTAGCTATAATGAAGACTACTAGCTGAAAGCTCTTTGTTAAAAATCGTCTACAGACTACAATATGACCCACACTTCTATTGTTCTAGATAACCTATCTAGATGTCTGACGTTGCTCTGAGCATCTCTACAATCATACATAAGTTCTGTAAAAACAACCACCACTTACGTCCTTGCTCTCATCCGAAAGAAATCGTTGGAAAATACTTGGAAACATGCGTTATCGGTTGTATCTCCAAACTTTCGATTTGAAAACATAGAGGAGTTAAGGATGATTGACTAAACATTAACGCACTAGACATCTACAATGATACTGTCGTATAAATATTTGATGGGTGATTTTTTCTTATATGATAGTTTTGATACTTACTTACTTACGCCTGTTACTCCTCGTGAAGGAGCACAGGCCGCTCACCAGCATTCTCCACCCAACCCTGTCCTGAGTAATCCTTTCTAGTTCTTTTTAGTCGTTGTTCATCCTCTTCACATCTGATTCTATTTCCCGACGAAATGTGTTCTTTCGCCTTCCTCTTTTCCGCTTCCCTTCAGGATTCCAAGTTAGGGATTGCCTCGTGATGCAGTTTGACTATTTGCGTAGTGTATGTCCTATCCATTTCCATCGTCTTTTCCGAATTTCCTCTTCAGCTGGAGGCCGGTTTGTTCTCTTCCACAGAAGGCTGTTGCTGATGGTATCCGGCCAATGAATGTTGAGTATCTTGCGTAGACAGCTATTTATAAATACTTGCACCTTCTTGTTGGTGGTTGTTGTTGTTCTCCAAGTTTCAGCTCCATACAGCAGAACTGCCTTGACGTTCGTGTTGAAGATTGTGACTTTGATATTGGTTGAAAGTTGTTTTGAGTTCCATATGTTCTTCTACTGTAGGAATGCTGTCCTTGCTTCGCCAATCCTCGCCTTTACGTCTGCATCTGAACCTCCTTGTTGATCGATGATGCTTCCCAGGTATGTGAAGGATTCTACATCTTCCAGAGTTTCGCCATCAAGAGTGATTGGATTGGTGTTATCTGTGTTGTATTTGAGGACCTTGGTTTTCCCCTTGTGTATGTTGAGGCATACTGATGCAGAGACTGCTGCTACACTGTTTGTCCTCATCTGCATTTATTCGTGTGTATGCGATAAGAGGGCTAGGCCATCTGCAAAGTCCAAATCGTTCAATTGGTTCTGAGCTGTCGATTGTATGCCGTGTTTTCCCTGAGATGTCGAGGTCTTCATAATCCAGTCGATAGTTTTGATACAATTTTACATTTGAGTAAGGTGAAAATCAATACAAAAACATGGATCATGCTACATTCATTCCACCATCAGGTGACATGTACTGTGAATCTTTGTAATTAAGTCTCTAAATTAAAATGGTTGATAAGAAAAGCTGACTAAGTAAAGTTGGATATGGGCTAGTAGTAGAATCAAACACTCGTGTTTTAACCTATTTAAAACTCATAACATGAATTCACATGCATCTGAATGTTCGTATTTACACAGATACTAAAACTGGGAGACTTTTACTTCAATTAGTTACCCTTTAACTATTGAGTTACTGAGTTATATGTTAAAATTCTCTGATTAATTCCAGCTCTTCATTACAACAGAGAGAAAATACAAACCCATATGAAATAAAATTAATTTTTTCTTAAAAACTTTTACATAATTGAGTTCATTTTGTAAAATGTTTCTAAAAAGGATGATCTTTTATGCATAATCATCAAAATAATAAAATAATGTTCTGTGTTTCATTCAAATCCATGAACATACTTTTTGATCACTGGATGCTGAATATAAATATCCTGATTCATAATCTAATACAATCGATTGAACCGAATCATCATGTCCTTGTAATGTAGATATCTAGATAATTTCCAAAATAAAATGGATAATATATATAGATATATAGGATTAGATGCAAATGGATAAAATGAGCTTAATCATTTTGATCAACTATTATTCTGATAGAGTTTTGTTCTCTGAGATGAATAGTTTGATCGTGAAGCTTTCATCGTTCTTCTGAACGATATCATCAGTACATATTTTAGTTAGAAGTGGAGTGTTCGAATTTCTCCACATATAATTCACAATTTGTCCTGTAGACCTCAATCTTGATTGGTTCTTGTTGACTCAAACCTGTCATTGTTTACTTCTTTGTTTTGGTTGTATCTTCCATTGTTTGATTTTTTGTTTGTGATGATGACATTCAAAAGAACAATGAAAGCTCCACGACTAAACCATCCACTTCAAAGAACAAAACTCTATCAAATTCATCCCCATGTGCTAAAAATCTTCTCCACCATCTCAACTATTATTCTCATTCTACTATAAGGTTGAGTGATATTGTATAACTGATTAAAGTATGTATCATTACGTTAAAGATGTCCCACTCAATGACTATCCATTATGATACATGCTAAATTGGTTGTGTGGATTTTCTATCCAATTATTACAATCAAAATAAAGTCACATCGAGTTCAATGGATGAGCTCAAGATTCACTGACTATTTCATGATCAGAATCTTGATAACTAATAAAATAGGGTTCTGTGCAATTTCATGAACTTTTCCTTCATATAATACATTCAGAATTACCTCCGCCTAGAGTCCCTCTGGGGACTACTGCCGGTCCCAAGCCCGCGAAAGGAGCAGGGTTGGGCATGGGCTTAGAGACTCCATCCTGTAGAAAACTAACTCGCTAGAAAAACGCTAACCAGAAAAAAATTATTCAAACTTTAAACTCTGTCCTGGAAGTCAGAAGGTCTTCATTTAGAAGAATTATGACGCCTCATGATGAAAGCCGAGGTCCTTCGGAAGTCACCAGGCCGATGCCCCTTCTGACAACCAGAGCAACAATTTATTTAGGTACATGGAATACTCGTATTATGTGGAGACCGGAAGAGTCTTTCAAATTGCTGCAGAAATGAAGAAATACAACGTAGAGGTGCTTTGGATCAGTGAAACACATTGGACGCAAGTTGAACAACAACGACTAGCTTCAGCTGATAAAAACCATTTATATACATTAACAATGTGTAACAATAATCCAATCAATATCTTGAAAAGTATTGAATTAAGAGTCTTTCAAATAACCTTCGACCGACAAATAAGATAGGATTTCGAGTCTTATCATCGTTTGAACTAAACACACTTAAGATACTTATTCTTATTTAAATCAAACAGATTTTTTTACTCAATAGTATAACTGACTTTGACTAATGAAAGAAATATGATCTATGTGAACAGTATAGTTTAGTAGTACAGTCAGTGCAAGTTTGTAATCTGTTGAAATAAATTAACTTCTTTCAGAATTCTACAATTTCAAATTAAAATTGTGGCAGGAGCTGGTAGTGACCTACTTTTATCAAGAGAACGCGATTGGTTCAATGGAAACAACTATTATTATAACCAACTGTACCAGTGATTCTTTTACTGTACTTGTTTGTTTAACTGTACTAAAGACATTCTTCCGTTGATTGTGACCTTTCACGCACTTACATTTGCTCAGTTATACCACTTGTACTCTTTTGGCACGATCTCGGTATTCTCTCGATACCACGAGATCGCCAACAAATATATATCGCTACAACTTCCAATCGCCTTCTGATATCTGGTACACAATCTTCTTGTAATGGTGATCATAGTCAACCGCGACTCCACCCCACGCTACAAGCTCTCATCATGAAAATTTGTTTTATCAAACTATAGATGAATATTATAGAGTTCAGTCAGTCAGTAACAACGTAGAACTTGTACGTACGTACATCAGTTCGAGTCGCCATACCACATTAGCACAGAGATGTAGTTGTCGATTCAAATCCCATGGTGGTGGAGGTAGGACGAGTATAAGCAGTAATCGGAAAGATGAGGGTTTGGAGATATTATTTCGAGAGCATAATACAGTGAAACAAATTTGGGAAGAGAAAAAAGAGACAAGAAGGAATCAGGAGATTAAAATTTGGGAGAACATAAAGAGTGTAAGCACCTGCGCCATTGCAAACGATTTTGAGCCATGTCATTCAGGGTCTCTAACCATCGGTTGCTATCATCTCGCGGTCCCCAACCAGGTAGTCTACACCTACCAACATGACTCAGTTCACTTGTCAGTGACTTCATGGACTTGTGCCATGTTTTGGTTTGGCCGCCCCTAGCTTCCTTCCAACCTACTCCTAATATTATAGAGTTACATCAAATGAAGTGAAAGATAACATACTTGACCAGTTGATATTTCTATACAATAAATTTTAGAATCATCACAACCAGCAACAATATATTCACTATTCAAATCAATAACTAATTGATTAATTCCAAGTTTATTTCGTTGTTCTAATTGTTTATGTTGTATAGATGTAGGATTTGGATGATGATTAGAATGTTGTTGATGAGGATGATGATGATTGAAACGATCAAATTTTCGAGTTTTATTCAAATCAAAACAAGTAGGCAAACATTTCACCTCCACATTATTATTATTATTATTATTATTATTATTATTATTATTGTGCATTTTCATTTTAAGGTAGGTAAATTTGTTTCAAATGAGAAATTATTGATTTTACGAAGATCCCATAATCGAATAAAACCTCCACTGTCACATGATATTACATTGGTACCTTGTTGATTAAATATAGCACAATTGATTGAATGTGTATGACCAAGAAATGTATGCTCACACAAACCCTATTAGGTTATATGGAAGAAAGAAAAAAACACACTGAGATTATATCAGTATTGACTATTCTTTGAATAGTATCTATCTAGTTTCTAAGTTGTTATCTGGAAAACCTTGGTTAATATATTACTTACTTACTTGCTTACGCCTGTTAATCCTATTGGAGCATAGGCCACTGATCAGCATTCTCCAACCCATTCTGTCCTGGGTATTCCTTTCTAGTTCTATCCAAATTGTTGTTGATTCTTTTCATGTCTGTCTCCATTTCTCCTCCTAGAGCTCCTCTTGAGATACTGATGGTCCCAAGCGCGGATAAAGGAGGAGGCTTGGACATGAGATTAGCGACCCTATCCCGTGGAAAACTAACTTGCTAAAAAAAACGCTAACCGGAAAAAAATAAATTCAAACCATTTAAAGTCTGCCCTGGGAATTAGAAGGTTTTCATTTAGAAGAGTTATGTATATTCCTTGTATATTGTTATTTTTGTGATATTGTTGTATCTAAGCTGAATATTTTAATATTGAATCTTTGATTTTCTTTCCTCAGTAACAACAAACGCTGAAAAGTAATTAATTCAGAGAATTTCACCACAACCTATTGCGTTGAAGGCACTCAACAAATTCCTGAAGTATAACGCAAAGTTCACAGAAACGGAAACATAATTGGCTAATAATTTGTTTTGTAGATGTAAACTTAGCTTAATTGCTGTCAATAACTTTGATTGACTGTTCTCTTCCCCAACCTGATCTTTGAACCTATGGTTTTATATTAGTCCAGTTGTCTACTGGTTAATTCAATTTACTTTAATATCAGGGAAATAACGTGTAATTCGAAGTTTTTATCTAAACAGACAATGATAATCGAAAAACCTGTTATGATATTTAAGGACTGTAGCAAACAGTGGGGGAGGCGAAATCCGACTCACACGTCCGCATCGTGCCTCCTGCATAATGAGACGAATGACTCATTAACTAACGCGAGCGGTAACCCGGGTGGTGGAAATCGGGCTAATCACCCACTCTTACCTATACCCATCAATCAATTACGAAACGCACAGAGAAACATAGGACAATAAATTTGGAATGGAAAACCACAAAAAATTTTCGAAAGTGGTGCATGTATCATATGGAGTTGCTCGTCATTGGGCAAACTCCAAAGGATTGCAGAAACAACTATTCTAGCCCTGGTAGTTGTACCGTGCTTCGATGTGGCCTGTTTCTCTCCAGAAGGGCCTAATAGGCTTCACAAACTTGTTTGGCTGGAAGGGGGGAGCAAGCAGTGAAATCCAAAACAAAATTTTCATCCTATTTGGAATTCATTAATTATGTGCACTCCCATCATTCTGTTAGTACTTACTGTAAAAGTCAACTGATATGCAATAACATTTAGGTAATAAATAAAAAACGAGACCATATCCCTGTCTCGCATACGATTGTTAGCTGTAATCCAGACATCTAATAAAGATATCGTGTGACCCTCGATCTTGATTGTTTATTGTTGTTCAGAAGAACGATGAAAGCTTCATCACTAAACCGTACAGCTCAGAGACCAAAATCATCCATCTGAGCAACAAATCTTCCCTACCATCTCAATATGCACTTATAATTAACAAATTCTTTAGTAAAAGCCAACGAAACAGTGTTACTTACCGAACGACCATCCCATAAACACACTGTTCTGTCTGATGAACCAGTAACTAAAATATTTCCATAAGGTAAAAATTGAATAGAATTCACTGATTTACTATGCCCTCTAAGTATTGTACAACATGATGTTGCAGAACGTGTGCTTAATAATTCTTTATTCATTTTAAATGACATCATAGCGTGTTCAACATTCCATAGACGTATTGTATTATCCATACCGCAACTAGCTAAATAAGTACCAGTCCAATGCCAATTCACAGACCAAACAGCTCCAGTATGCTGACGTAAAATACCAATACGTTTACAATGATTCTGTTCCGATATCTTGTCATCGATAAGGTCAATTTTCCATATCTGAAATAGAATTTAACATTTATGAATATATATATATATATATATGCTAGTGGGCGGCCTATGTTCCTCCACGAGGTGTAACAGGCGTAATATATATATATATATATATATATCTGTTGCTTCAAAGTATGTTGTTTCCCAAGACTAATGTTCAAGCCCATTCTGTCGATAGAATCCAGAATACAAGTTACATACTATTTGGAACTTATCAGTTTTATATTTCTGTTTATTAATGTTGATTATAATTTATGGACGAACCAATACGATTTACGATAGTAGGTCTTGGATTTCAACGAGAAATTCTTTATCGATTTGGCTAAATAACGTCTTGTCATTTTAAATAATGTCAGTTCGTGAGGAAACATCAAATGGAAATCATAATTCTAATTCCTCACACTGGTTTATAACCTTCATTTAACCGTAGTCAGTAGGTGGATACTCTCAAGGTCCCTCTAACGTCGCTTAAATGTCGTCCATAAATTATAGTCTCACCATTAATACTTCTTCATTACTTACAGACTACGTGTAATATATTGTCAGTCTCAGCCCCTTATTGTGTACATACATACCTATAAATAGTGTGGAGTTAGGTTGCCTATTAGTTCTTCTCTTTTTAACTTCTGATCACACTATTATTCTCTGACACAGAACATTGTAAATATTCCATTACATGACAATAAGAACCGTGAACAGTAGGGTTTCAAATCATTCACTGGATCCCTTTCAAATAGATTTCAATAACGACGTTAAAACACTACTTTGATTTGACTATTTTAAACCTAGTTAATCCATATATCTCACACTGTACTAATGTGTAATATATGTCAACTAGGATTGTGTTCCAGGGTTAATGCTATTAAAAACAAATAATATCCATAATCAATTTGGAGTTCATAGGGATTTTCATAAGGGAGTTTCGGCATATTGAATTTAAGGTTCAACAATGAAACTCTTCTTTTGCTTCGAGAAACTAAAGAAATTATGTTACCGGATTCTGATGAGTATTAAGCTACAATGACAGTTCATGATTATATCATTTAACGAGTATTATAAATATTGAAATGATAGTAAAAACGTGTCGCTTAAATAAATAAGGGTTTAGTATACAGGAGTTTTTCTGTAACATTTTTATTGACCCCATAAACAACTTGATTAATACAACAGAAGTCTTAAAGTAGATGATGAATTGTTTTAGAAAACTTTCTTAATCACCACTATGTTATTTATTTGAACACATTGATTGAAGTTAGACATTAACACCGTTGGATGCAGGCTAGCTCAGTAGCCTAAAGTCTGCGCGCGCAGATCGATAGGTCCTGGAGCCGAGCCCCGTGTGCGACGACGTGGACACGGCACTACTGAGAAGTTCCATACTGCGACGAATCAGTGATCCAGTACATCCAGGTTCTCCATGGTGGTATAGCTTCAATTAATTCATGGATTCAATTATCAAACTACTGAAATCTCCACAAAATCCCCTTCTGTTAATAATCGTTTTTTGTCAATATTTACTTCCTTACGCCTGTTACTTTTTGTGGAGGAGAATAGACCGCCCACCAGCACTCTCCATCCAACCCTGTCCTGGGCAATTATTTCCAGTTCTTTTCAGTTATTATTCATCCTTTTCATACCTGATTCTATTTCACGACGTAATATGTTCTTTGACCTTCCTCTTTACCGCTTCCCTTTAGGATTCCAAGTTACCACTTGTCTCGTGATGCAGTCGCTGAAAAAAACTCTTTTTAATTTTTTTATAACCTCTTTATCTCATACATAATCTTGGTGATATACAAATACTAATCCTGTTGTGTATTATGATTACATAATCCTCTGTTAATCATCGTAACTAGAACATCACCTCCCCCGACACGTTACGTTGTACTGTTATGTTCAGTTCTTCACATCATAACGATTTCTTTTGGTTATGTTTCTAATATTCATACAAACTACACTAATTATGTAAAACATTTGTTGATAAGTATATCAATAATTGTACATTCAAGACGATTGCAGGTAATGAGAAGTAGTGAATTTATAGTGAATTGATTTGATCCTGAAAAAGTGATTTTTACTGAATATTAATAAGTAGTATAAAACAATACACAAAAGAGTTGAAGGGAAGTGAATAAGGACAGAGAACGTAAACAAACTTAACTGTGTTGTATTGTCGATTATCCTATAGACCTCACTCAAGCAATGCACATTTTTCGGCATCCTAAAAGTCAATCACTTCATAGACTAATGTAGTAGTATATTTTATCCACTTCTAGTTTTCTACCATCCTGTTTATTAACTAGCCAAGATTATACAATGAGATGAACTATTGTTTAGAATATGTAACATATATCCCAGACAATTCAGTCGGCGAAAATTCATGGTTTTACTAACTGACTTGACAAAACCAAACAACAATCAAACGATGTTTCATCATAATTAAAAACCCATACGAAACATACAATCACTCGTCTATAGAAACGTCCAGTCACATCACTAAACTGAAAATGATTTAAAGCATCTATAAATTTTAGCCTGTGTTATTTGTTACTACTGTACCATGCATCATTTCACATTGACTACAATCTTGGTGACATTATAAGCAGAGATTATGATAATCCGTACATGATGCCCATATGTCAATAAGAGACTGATCAGTTGCTGTCCTAAACATCAGTGAGAAGATTCAAGCAACCGATACAATAAGTACATAATTCTATTGATTTTGAGGAAAAGCATTTCTACAAACATGTAACAGACTACTAACTACTTATTCAACATTGAAACTTAGTCATCTTCGATATCGTGCTCTTAAACTTATCAACCCACTCTACTCAGCATGAGGGTCAATACATATTACTACCTGATAACAAGTTCATTATCATATAAATGCTATTGAACAGATATAGATGGTGACTGAAAGTGGAATCTCGGACGCTCGTTTTATCAGATCTGGGACACATCAACCTATGACTTAAGGTGATCACTTACAGTCCATCATGGAACAATTCAAATAACAGATACAAATGAATTAAAGTTATTGAACATTTACTTTGAGAAAAAAGAACTCACTTGAATAGAACCTTGAGCATTTCCTGTTGCTAATATTTCTTCTTTAGGATGAAAATCAATTGATGATATCCAATCATTTGTTATTAGTTTATATTCCATTAATAATTCTAATTTTGGAATTTTCCACAATTTCCATAATTTATCATCACCAACTGAACATAACCATGATTTATTTGAATGAATAGCTAATCTAAAATTTTATTTTAGTACATAGATACAAAGAGTGTTTACTATTTAAAATGAATTAAAGTAAATTTATTTTATTTGAACACATAAATATTGATACAAAGGGGGTACCGAATACATATGCGCCACATAAGTCAATTGATTAGTGTGTGGGTTGGGATACTGCCCGGGTGCCCAGACCGAAGCACGTGGTTTGCTTACGCGGCTATGTTCAAAGCCTTCTACCTAAAGATCTGATCCACAAGGCAGTGGAGCAACGTATGGAGATACAGTCCCATGTTAGCCGATGACCAGAGATTGTTGCATACGCCATTTGTTCCTTCAGAATTCTGGAGCACACGTAAATTATTGGTTTGGAATCAGGGTTTTCCAACCCACCTAAGTGGATCCTCCATATCCATCAACCCGGTTAAAGCGCCGGACATTCGCTTTTTGTCCTCTCAATGTTGCAAATAATAGTAATACCGTGGGAAGGCAGTGAGTAGGACTTCCGTAACAGTGGCTGTATACTCGTGTCCATGTGAGAGCATTTGGAGATGAAAAGTAGCCTCCTCCTCACCCTTGACCACACGAGGGCATTTGAACAAAGATAGATAAAGTAAAACTTTATCTGTGATCTTCTGTACACTATGTTGAATTGTGTCCCCCATTATTTCCAAATCCGATTACTTTACGTTTTGAACAGATGATGAGAATCTGATGAAACAAATATACGTTATTATATCCAAATCAGCGTTATTGTTTCTTCTTTTCTTTTGAAGTTTATTCACAGCAATACGTATATGAAGATATATATGTTTGATCGTATATCGAGACACTTTCCAGTAGTACTTATCCATAATTGTATATGGAATGCAACGTAAAAGTTTCAAATTTAATTACTAGTACTAAACATTTCGATCATTAAGTGATCGATGGTTCTTTGATAGTTACATGAACAAACTTTTTTCGTTAAAGCATCAGTAAATAATATTGATTTCAATTAGATCATCATCACGTTTTCGTCCATCATAAGTGAGAGTATGAGGCAAACCAAAATGAGTTTGACATCAAGAGACGTGTCAGAAAAAGAGTGGACATTTTCTTCAAGTTATTTGGACGTCAAAGGATGGAATCAATACGAAGTTCCAATTTTTGACACGTAGTCGATATATAGTGAACGCAAACACAAGTGGGACAATCTAATGTATTTGAATTGAAAATACAGAATGTCAATCAAGTGTCCCAAACTTGACTATTCCTTTTGCAAAATGTCAATAATTCCTCACAGACTTGATTGTTCCTTCATTTTCATATCAATCATTCTCTGTTCTCGTTTTCTTTCCTTCGATCTTTTTAACCATTTACCACCAGGTATTTCAGTTTGATTGATGATACATACTACTTATATCTGTCGATATCAGTAATACACACCACATATAGTGATCATATGCTACATAAAATAATTTGCAGATTGAATGATCTACTAAATACTTTGAATATTTCACAATCAAGACTAATCTCATCACTTATATAAATAGAAAGTTGTGAGGATTCAAGTCAACAGATCTAGTTTTTCGATTCAAAAGAAGCCTGTAAGATCTTTGTCTTTTACTTAACCACGATTGTATAAATCCTTTTAATTCATTTTCTATTTCTGTTCACTCCTTTCACATATTTTCTTTACTACTTGCAAACATGTAAAATAAATTAATGTTGATCATTTAGATTCAACTTAACATTTACACGGGACTCAGTCGTTTACAACATAGTTCCATGAACCAACTAATCATCAATTGCTTTTAAATTATCCAGATTTATGAACTCTATACTGATTCCATATGTGTGGAATTTCAATAATACACATTTAATTCAGAAAGTACTTTGCTTTATTGATCAATAAAAAGATCTAGATGATGAGACTAGAATTTATGGACGAACCAATCAGGTATATGATAACGAATCATATATTTTCAAACGAAATTCATTCATCCATTTGGATAAATAGAGTTTTGGTATTATAGCTGATGTCAATTCATGATGAAAACTCTAAATGTAATTTCTAACCTCTAAACATTAACTGTAAATCATAATTCTATTTCCTCATACTGGTTGATAATCCTCATTTGATCCTGGTTATTAAGTGGAGTCCCTCCGAGGGTTACTGACGGTCCCAAGCCCAGGTAAAGGAGGAGGGTTGAGCATGGGGTTAGCGACACCATCCTGTAGAAAACTAACTCTCTAAAAAACGCTAACCAGAAAAAATTATTCAAACCATTTAAACTCTGTCCTGGGAGTCATAAGGTCTTCATTCAGAAGAGTTATGACACCTCATGGTGAAAGCCGAGTTCGTTCGGAATTCACCAGGCCGATGCCCCTTCTGACAACCAGAGCAACCACTTATTTAAGTACATGGAATACTTGTACAATGTGGGAGACCGGGAGAGTCCTCTAAATTGCTGCAGAAATGAGGAGATACAATGTAGAGGTGCTTGGGTTCAGTGAAACACATTAGACGAAAGTTGGACAACAGCGACTAGCGTCATTAAGTAGATACTCTCAAGGTCAGTCTAGCGTCCTTCAAAGGTCATCCATAAATTATAGTTTCACCAAATGTATGTTTATCAATATGCAATAAAGTAAATTAAAAGTTATTTTCAATATAAAGTTTACTTGCTAATAGCTGCATTATGAGCCCGTATACTCATATCTAATTTTCTATTATCTAATCGTGTAAATTTATATGAATGATTTGTAAGTTTTGCCAATAATGGATTCACTTTATAATCAATAGATAAATCACAAAATCCAATCTAAGGAAATAAAACAAAAAAGAGAATTGTGCGTTTAGTGATCAAAGAATACAATAATAATGGTTTGTTGTATCATTACTTCGTCCTAGTACGGGACTCCTCATCAGTGTACACCTACGACCACGTTCTCGAGATTCAAATTCAAGACGTATTGGTCTCGTGTGTGAACGCTTCACCTCTTGATCAATGAGCTGGTATCCAATGTGTTAATGTCTAACTTTAACCAATCCAAGAAATTGTGCCACTGTCCACCATTGTCTTCAGTAAGTTAATATTTCACAACAGACACGGTTGAACTCTTCTGGTTACGGCTACTCACTAGTTAGTTTCAACAATTCTCAATCACTTTATTTGTAACTAACATATGAGAAATTCGATATTTGCAGCCAACTTTTATGCACCATCAGCTGGTAGATATAAGTATAAATAAATAATCTATGGCAAATCACAGCATTGAGTCTAGAGCATGTTTTTTTACGAATAAACACATGTTTAAATAATCCCTCCTATCTTTTTGTCCAGAATTCACATAATTATTACTTTTCACGTATTATTCACATAACTCCAGGAAATCATCTTGAAACCAATTACTAGTGAGCACATGATGATCGTGGATCATAGATGAGCATGCTGAGGAATTATATACTAGTACAAAACGGCCGTCCACCGTTTCTAGGTTTTCCATAGAGATCTAGCTTAAATTGACTCATGAATTCAACTATTAAAATGTTAATCCCGCGTGCGGGTTCGTGGATGCGCACTGCTGAGGAGTCCCACAATTGAACGAAACGGCCGTCCAGTGCTTCCAGGTTTCCAAAAGTAGTCTAACATCAATCGGTTCATGATCTCAATCAAAAAGTGAGTTTTATTGGAAGGTATAGACGCTCAGATTTAATCTACACAATAAAATTAAAATCGCTTAAAAACCATAAATGATATAAGTTCATATCGTTTTCAGCGGTACATATGCGTTTATGCTTCATGTTTTTTTCAAATCTTTAGTTTTATATTGATAAAGCAATCAGAGATGAATTTGATGATGTATTTGTGTTATACATTTTGAATCATCTGATCATACACATACTCGTCAAGGCACCGTGATACTCTTCATGTCATTATATAGATGAAAATGCTGTGAAAACTTTTTATATTTTTCACTTCATATTGTTTCTTCTCTCATTAATTTACAATTACCAGTTTACGTTTTTTTCGATCGTTTATTGAAGTGGACTCCATTAGTTTTTTATTGATAAATATCTTGACAACTATATATCTGACCAGATTGTTCAGAATGTATCGGTACAAATAAGTCATCTTCTTCCAAGTCAACTAGGTAGAGGCAGACTACTTGATTGGGTTCCACATAACTATCGTAACGAATGGTTGGATACTCTGGGTGACATGACTCAGAATCGACCGCAATAGCGTAGGTGTTTACAATCTTTGTCTTCACTTAAACAGTGAGATTAAAATTGCTTTATTGATAAGCCTTGCAAACTGAACGCTATATTCGTTTCCTAAGCTATTCTATAACCCCCAAGTAAGAACTATCCAGCGACCTGAACACCAGAAAAAAGCGCAAAGTATGCAAGTTTTTTACTCCAAAGGTTCATTTTAATACAGAAAATATAGGGTTTTTATAATATTTTTAAGTGTCCTTGGGTTGTTTGAGATTCTGGAATGCTACTAAACATAGTAGCAGTATAGCAACCAGCCAATCAAAACCTCTACATGTGACGTTTCACTTCCTTGATGTTTCTGGCTAAAACTTAAAGTGAACGCTGATTAAATGAAATGCTTCTTAGTGTTTCCTGATCCTTGCTTGTCTTTTGAGAGAAATTTTCTGTATCACCCCAACATTTATATCTTTCTTTCTACAAACTAATTCTTTCTACCTGTACTATATCCTTAAACACAATCTTTCTTTCATACATAACTACCTTTAAAGTGACTACTTTTATGAATTTGGTGTTCATCTTGTTGTTCCAATGAGGTGTGGCAACTTGAACTGATGCATATATGTGCCTCGTCCTACTTTGTAGCTGACTAGGTCACCGTTGTCTTCTGATAGTTTTATCAAAGCTTACAACTGGGATCAATTGATTCAAATTTAATTTTACTATTAACTTATGCTTTCTATCCATAGATTTTACTTATTCTTTCCAAACCATATTGATTGAGTTTAATATTTTACTTTATTTTTTTGATATCTCGAAATGATTAAAGTTAAACAATCACTGAAAACCCAAAAGGCATGGAATATATCAAGTCAGAGTTAATTTACACATGTATTAGGTTTTATATTGGTAATAAATAATAAACGGATATATTGCACTACGTCAATTCTTCTCTACTTTAGAGTTCGGTTTGATCATTATTTAAATCTGTACTAGATTACATTCATTTACTCATCTCTGTTACACCATTCAATTCAATAAACTAATGTTCATAGATATTTTGACTAATCTCTGGGTTATACAACACATAGTTATCAAAACGTCCAAGTAACTGAAATACAACTCAAATTGAGTCCGTACGTATAAAATTGTTAAAGAAAATCAATAGAGGAGTGAAAAGTAGAGTAATAGGTCACTTCTTAAAAACATATAATCTATTTGAATATTTTCTCATTATTCGGTTTCTATAAACGGGCATTATGTATTGCAAGACAATTTATATATGTATGTTTATTTAATCTTATGATCAAACGAAAGTTTTTCTCAAAAATCAACTATAAATATCTTACCCTTTTCAAATTATGATCCAGTTTAGTTTGGATATTAAACTTTTCTGATCTCATATAATTCTTTTTACACTTTTGATCAGTTTCTTTTTTATTCTGTCTACTTGTTGTACTTTCCAACCTTTTCTCAGTTACTTTATGATTCAGATCAACATTTTCAATATCGTTTGCATCATTAGACGTTATACCTAATTTTTGCAATGAAGTTAAAGCATGTCGAAGTCCTTCAACTTGGTTCATAGCTTTGTCTCGTTCAATTCTACGTAACGTTTTTTCTTTCATTGCTGTTTCATATTTTTGTCTTAATAATCTTAAAATTGGCTCATATTCAGCATAATGTTCTTTTACTCTAATCAATAATTTTGAAAACACTAAAGTTAAAACAACAATTACAAACCAAGATTTTTATGAATTGATTGTTACATTTAACTTTTTTTAGTTTAAAAGCGATTTCCATAATAAGCTAGTATTTAAGAAGGAACTTAAAAAGGATCGGTTGATCCTTGTGAACTTAATTCTCTTGTGGAGTAGGTAGGGTCACATTCACCCAACTAAAGAGAGTGTATACCGCTTTCTAGTTGTAAAGCACGGTCTACAGAAGTAGAAAGAACTCATAGGCTGGAGATGCATGATCACAGCTGTTCTGAAAGCATTGCTTGTGTTTAGTGGAATGATCAAGTGAGTAATGTTGATATCAGATGCAAGGTACTAGGTAATGGTAACAAATGGTCAGGTTGTGAATGTTTATTTACTGAAGTGGTTAAGACATGTGTTAAATATGTCCAACCATCGCCTACCTATACAGAAGATGTTGCTGGTTTGGACTTAGGTTGAGAGTAAACCGAAGATGGAAAACTAAGTCATAGTATCAGTCTATGGATTCATTTACTATTGGAAAGAGATATGCTTGTAAATTCAGACTACTTGACTGGGACCCATGTGGTCACTGCGGTTATGAGTTGAAAATTTTGGGTGACATGACTTAGAATCATTCTCAGTGGTTCAAATGTATTCACTTTTTATCATTGTTGACCCTAAGTCCCAGCATTTTTTCCAAAAATACCTTTGCACTCTGTCTTTAAGAATTATATTTGCAATCCCTAATTTTAATGATTATCATAGCTACTATATTATTTTGGTCTCTTTTGGTACTCATCTCATTGTGCCAAATTGGCACGACAACCTGAGCCAACGAATATCTGCGTCAAGCGCTACCTTAATGAAAACAGAGCAAGGGACTAAGCAAACATCTGGGGCGATTAGATAGCAAAACTCTGTTCTGATTCTAGTCCGAGGTGCTGTTGATGAATTCCTGTGTATAAAATTCAGCACCACAGCAATGTTTATCATTTACCATACGCATGGTTTTAAAATATGCTCGAAGTCAAACTTATATTATAAGTGGTGTTTATACTATTTGGATCAAAAAATTCAAGTTATTTAGATGTAGTTATGATTTATGGCTTACCTATGGGATAAGTTGTGAAATAATCCAGGCTAGGAAATGGAAATGAACGCTTGAGTTTCGAATTAGAAATAAAGACGCGTAGAGAATATACCATCATTACAATCCAGACCTAGTTGGAACTGGCCCCCAAAATCCCTAATTGTTTTCTTAAATTTTACTGTAGCAGTGAATTGTATAGCCATATGGTTTATCCCTGCTTAATAAATTCCTAAATTCATGGCAGACAAAAGTCGAGGTCTGTTTTATGAACCCTACATTTTAGTACTACTGCTTTAACGTATGACGTACGGGAAAACACAGCACTATAATAATGAGAACAATGGTCCGTTGCATATGGAGATTTTTGCTATTAGTTAACCATGAAACACAGTTTTAAATTTACCAGTAAATAAAATCTTATCAGGACCGACTAGTTTGATATCTTTTGTGAGCAGAGTTTTGTAGCCAGGCAGGTTTATCATGACATTGGAATTAGGCTCTATATGAAAAGTGTTAAAGGTCAGAAAATCATATAAATTCTAGTAGTGCTTGAAGAAGACAAGGATTATTACACGAAAGATAATGAAGTATTATACGAAGTGCTTAAGATCTCGAAAATGGTTAGAGACTAAACTGTATACCTTTTTACGTCACAGTGTAGCTTCTCTTTATCTTGTAACGTTTGTCTGTGCTTGATCATGTGATAATCTCGTTCATTCCTAACTTTTTTCAACTCATCACTTAGTTTCCTATATAGGGATAAATAATTGTTATTTGGAAGCTTCAAATTACAAAACTGAATTTTTTAAAGTCAGATTTTCTGATCTTATATCTTCTATCATATTTCTCAGCTCATCGTTCTGTATATAAATATCAGGAACTGGGGCAGCTTCTTTATTCAATAAACCTCTATGCAAGAACTTGAACCTAAAAATCGAAATCGAGAAAATATCAAACCATTCTGCCTGGAAGACATTAAGAGTCTCAAGAAATCCATTGTTTTGTAAGTAATTACGGAAAAACTGATCAACAGATGGAGGAGAAACTTGAGAATGAACATCAGAAGCGAGTCCATCAAACCTTTCCTAAACCACGGTTTTTAAAGTTTTGAAGCTACCTTTGCTTCTGAGTCTTTTATCGTCTCCTTGACTCTCAAGACAAGTGGATCAAGTTCATCATCTTTCAATGTGTCTGGTAAATCTTCGATTTTAACCGATACTATAGAAGATGCATTGTCATCTTCAGGAATCTGTTCGCCTTTGAGCAGTGCATATTTATAAAAAATAACAAAATGTTACTTTCAATGTAATATTTGCTGTTATCGATATCCATAACTGTCGCCTATCTAAATCCAAGTTTCATTTACTGTTTTGAAAAGTTACGTGGCGTAGCCATGTCAAAATTAGGGGTTAGCACTTTAAAACAAAATTAGGAGTACAACAAAAAACAATGAGTTGTAGGATGTTGTAACAAAAAGTCATTTCTTAAGCTATTTACGTATACTTGCGATATTTTTATGTAATTTACTCTGTGCGCAATCTGAACTTTTGGAGCCTATTGATTTTTCTCTGATTTTATCGTGTTATGTTGTTAACGAAATATAGAACTAGCATATCTTCATATATAATTATCGACTTTATGTGCGTTCGTTGATAGGGAAATGAAATAAGTGAAATACAGAAATAAGTTTTGGATTGAAATCTGGATTTTGTGTCCTCTCAGTATATCAGTAACACCCGATTGAGGACGATTCTCTGCTTTGTGATATCGATGAAGTGGTAAATAACTTACTGCAACAAATAACCCCACAAACACCTAAAACGCCATAGTCAGTTTTGATGGAGACTACTGGCTAACACCTACCGATTCCGCATCATCGCCAGATCAGTGAGTGACTTCATGAGGAATGATTATCAAAATGGCACGAAATATTCGATATCGAAACCGACACAAAACCCCCCATATACGAGATTCCAACGGGCTACTGATCGAAAAGTGTGAGAATGAGGGAAGAGGCTTATCTGATTGACCCGAATCGCGTGCACAAGTACTCATTTATTTAAATATATATATATATTACTTACTTACGCCTGTTACTCCCAATGGAGCATAGGTCACCGACCAGCATTCTCCAACCCATTCTCTCCTGGGCCTTCCTTTCTAACTCTATCCAATTCTTTTTCATTTTTCTCATGTCTATTTCCATTTTTTGGCGTAATGTGTTCTTTGGTCTTCCTCTTTTCCTTTGGCCTTCAGGATTCTATGTGAGGGTTTGCCTTGTGACATAGTTAGGTGGTTTCCTCCATATGTGTCCTGTCCACTTCCAGCTCTTCTTCCTAATTTCTTCCTCCGATGTGATCTGGCCTGTTCTTTCACACAGTTGGTTGTTGCTAATAGTGTCCGGCCAACGGATCCGAAGTATTTTGCGTAAACAATTGTTAATAAACACTTGTATCTTCTGGATGATTGTTGTGGTAGTTTTCCAAGTTTCAGCTCCCTACAGTTGAACTATCTTGACATTTGTATTGAAAATTATAACGTTAGTGTTGATTGACAACTGTTTTGAGTTCCATATGTTCTCCAGTTGTAAATATGCTGCTCTTGCTTTACCCACCATGTTCATCATTGATGCTGCCCAAATATGTATAGGTTTTTACATCATCCAAATCGTCTCCGTCAATTGTGACTGGATTGGTGCATGCTGTGTTGTATCGGAAAATCTTGCTCTTCCCTTTGTGTATATTGAAACCTACTGCTGCTGAGGCTGCTGCCACACTGTTAGTCTTCTCCTGCATTTGTTTTTGCGTTTGGGATAGAAGGGCCAGATCATCTGCGAAGTCTAGATCGTCCAACTGCATCCTAGAAGTCCACTGTATCTCGTGTTTCCCTTCAAATGTTGACGTCTCCATGATCCAGTCGATCACCAGGAGAAGAAAAAAGGTAGAGAGTAAGGAACGTTGCCTGACACCGGTCTTTGCCTCGAAGGAGTCTTTCAATTGTCCCCCATGCACAATTTTGCAGTTTAATCCATCATAGGAATTCCGTATGATATTCACTATTTCAAAGGCACGCCGTAGTATCGAAGTAGCTTCCATAGTGTTGTTCTGTCCACGCTATCAAATGCCTTTTCGTAGTCAATGAAGTTGATGTAGAGTGATGAATTCCATTCAATTGATTGTTCCACAATGATCCGTAGAGTTGCGATTTGGTCTGTACACGATCTATCCTTACGGAATCCTGCCTGTTGGTCACGAAGTTGGGCGTCTACGCAGTCCTTCATCCTGTTTAACAATACCCTGTTGAAGACTTTTCCCGGTATTGAGAGAAGAGTGATGCCCCTGTAGTTATCACAGTTGCTGAGATCGCCTTTCTTCGGTATTTTGATCAGAAGTCCTTCTTTCCAGTCTGTTGGTACTTGTTCCTCATCCCAAATTTTATTGAAGAGAATGTGGAGTATCCTTGCAGTTGCCGCTACGTCTGCTTTTAGTGCCTCTGCTGGAATGTTGTCCGGTCCTGCTGCTTTGCCACTCTTGATTTGTCTGATGGCCATGCTGATTTCTTCAATTGTTGGTGGGCCAACATTGATTGGGAGGTCCGTGGGTGCTGCTTCGATGTTGGGTGGGTTCAGTGGAGCTGGTCGATTCAAGAGTTCTTTGAAGTGTTCTACCCACCTGTTTTGTTGCTCTTCAATGTTGGTGATTACCTTGCCTTCCTTGCTTTTCACTGGTCGTTCTGGTTTGCGGCGATTTCCAGAGAGTTTCTTTGTCGTGTCATACAATTGTCTCATGTTTCCTTCTCTTGCAGCCTTTTCCGCCGTCGTTGCTAAATCTTCCACATATTTACGTTTGTCGGTTCTGATGCTCCTCTTCACTTGTTTGTTTATTTCCGTGTATTCAGCTTGTGCCTTGGCTTTTTCTGCTCTTGTTCGACTGGTATTGATTGCTGCCTTCTTGTTCCTTCTTTCTTGAATCTTATCCAGTGTATCAACAGTGATCCATTCCTTGTGGTGGTGCTTCTTGTGACCCAGGACCTCATGACATGTTGAAGTGATTGCCTCTTTGATCCCCTTCCAGTTGCTCTCCACAGTAGTTCCTTCTCCATTGAGTAGATCATGAAAGGCCTGGAACTTGTTGCTGAGGACTATCTTGAATTTGTTGAGTTTGTTAGTATCCTGAAGAAAGGCCGTATTGAACTTTTGTGATACTGTCCGCCCCGTTGTCCAGTGCTTCTTGAGTTTCAATTTCATCTTGGCGACCAGCAAGTGATGATCTGATGCTATATCAGCTCCTCTCTTGGTTCTCACGTCCTCTATAGTCCTCCTGAACGTTTTGTTGATGCAAATATGGTCGATTTGGTTTTGTGTAGAGTGATCCGGTGAAGTCCATGTGGTTTTGTGTATGCGTTTATGTGGGAATATGGTGCCGCCTATGACCAGCTTATTGAAGGCACATAGATTTGCAAATCTCTCACCATTTTCGTTCCTTTCTCCCAGTCCGTGTCGTCCCATGATGTCTTCATATCCAGTGTTGTCCGTTCCAACCTTGGCGTTGAAATCTCCCATCAGAATGGTCAGGTCCTTTGTTGGGCACTTCTCGACGATTGACTGCAGCCTATTGTAGAATTGATCTTTAGCGTCTTCATTGTAGTCGTTGGTAGGCGCATAGCATTGGATGATGTTCATTGAAATGCCCTCTTTCTTTGTTTTGAAGGAGGCTTTGATGATCCTTGGTCCATGAGATTCCCATCCTATAAGTGCATTTTGCGCTTGTTTGGACAGCATCAATGCAACTCCTTGTGTATGTGGTGCATTTTCTTCTTCATGGCCGGAGTATAACAGGAGCTCTCCTGTAGTTAGTCGTTGTTGTCCAACTTGTGTCCAATGTGTTTCACTGATCCCAAGTACCTCTAGGTTGTATCTTCTCATTTCTGCAGCAATTTGGAAGGCTCTTCCGGTGTCCCACATTGTACGAACATTCCATGTACCTAAATAAATGGTTGCTCTGGTTGTCAGAAGGGGCATCGGCCTCGTAACTTCCGAAGGAATTCGGCTTTCATCATGAGGCGTCATAATTCTTCTAAATGAAGACCTTCTGACTCCCAGGGCAGAGTTTAAAAGGTTTGAATAATTTTTTCTGGTTAGCGTTTTTTAGCGAGTTAGTTTTCTACGGTATGTGGTCGCTAACCCCATGCTCAATCCTTTACATTTATCTGGGCTTGGGACCGTCAGTAGCCCCCAGAGGGACTCCAGGCGGAGATATATATATTACCTTGATAATCAAACCCTTTCCTCGTCAATCATTTGCACTCGTTATTAGGAGATTATTGATTGTGCCATATTTCATTCTCATTTGGCGAATTTCGATTCATCTATTGTATTAATTCCCCTGTTATCCACAGAAAGCTTGGAAGTCTCACTCTCCTCCATCCATAACTAAGACTGAATTTACTTTTCTACACAACACGGAGCACCCTTTTATTTCTACCGGAATATATTTATGAAAACTCCGTAAAAGTTACTTCTAAAGTTGTCAACTCAGTTCGGTTCTTGAATTGTAAGTGCTAGGAATTATTTCTGGAAAATTAATACACATATTCTTATCAAAGAATTTTTAAGTAATCATATATATATATATATATTGTCGGTTTATTCCTAATTCTTACACTAACAGCCACATTTGACTTGATGTTGTATAATTATTAGTTTGATTCTAAATATAAGACGCGGTCTGGTCTACATGTGTATAAACCACGCACATTTGAAATATACGATAATTGTGTTCTGGAATGAACGATCTGCGTTATGCGACAAACCAATATAAATAAGTCCGTTAGGGTTCAGGGCTGACTCAAAACTGGTAGTGCTGGTTAACGCATCATTTGTTTTGCGCAGGGACAAGATCATGTAAGTTTGTGTTTTGATCGGTGGTTTTGTCAGGTAATACCCGACGGGTTGTAAAATTATGGTCTACTTTGTTGGTAGTACTGCTCCTAATATTAGACCTAATCCTATAACTGTAGATAACAACCTAATCTATAAGATCTTAGGTGGAACTCACATGGTAGTGTACACTAACTCATCTTATCGTGACAATAAGCCGTATGAATGGCGTTCCAAAAGAACACTGGCTGGAGATTGAATAATGTACTTAATATGAATAAAAGAGATATATTACACAAGAGTGACCACGAGTGCAAGGCTGAGTCATGCCATCCGATGGATTGAATTACTGTTCTCACGTTCTCTATAGTTAACCATCTCTTCGTGCCAGTTACTGAATATAAGTCTTTTCAGTAATTATGTGCTCGGCTTCAAAAGTCGTGTGGTTAGGGTC